ATTGTCCAGATACATTAAATACTGGAGAAAATTTTATTGTTTAGTATAGAACATGAATACAAGTTATTATTTATAAGATTTATGTTTAGCTGCACATTAATGACAAAAAATGACAAGACAAGTATAAAAGTAACAAACAATTGTACTGTAATTTTAATTAATAATTGCATTGGCTGAAATCTTTTACTGAGGCTATATATGTATTTATTCTTTATTTTCACACTTATTATTCTTAGATTTCATGTATAATTTTAGGTGCATGGTTTCTACGTTCAGTATATTTTTATTATTATTATCAGTAATAATAACATAATTTCGATTCCAAGGATTTCCGTTTAAGTAATCTCCTCTCACTGCATTGGTATTTAATTTTGGCAATGTGTTCTGATGTATATTTGTGCTAGTTGCAACATTTATAACTGCCTGTTGTATTCCAAACTATACCAAAGATATTGGTATAATTAAAGAAGGTGGATTTTATACAAATAATTTAAAACGACCATAGCTTAGGTATGACTTCCAATTGGACTATTAGTTCTAAATTTTCGAAATTTACACTTCAGCTACTTTTACAAATTACAGTAGTATAAAAACACGACAAAAAAGACAAGCAGTGATCAAATGGTAATTAAGTACAGAATGCTCTGACATCGCGTCATCAATACATTAGAAATGAAGGAAGTCTCATTTTCTGATGATGCTATCAAACCAATTCACCTCGTATAAAAATTGAATTTGTCATTTAAATATGCTATGATATACCAAGTATATGTTGACTTCACTATGACGTCACTGTACTCAACTGTTTTAATAGTTTTACTTTAATATTTCTAAATTCATTGTCTTTGTGATTGGTTCCCGAATATTAATATTAATACTGATATAGAAGTTGATATGACAGAGTGAGACAAAACAACGAGGGTTGCGTAGCACAGTGTGCACAATGGTGATCAACTGTGGATGTGTGACCGAGAACCTTCTGCTACGGTGTGTTCACTGAAATTAATGAGGTTAACATCAATGTCGAACACTTTCATAACTGTTTATTTTGGGGATTTTTTCACCGCTACAGACAAAATAATGTACTTTCGGCTAGGGTTATTATGTGTTTTAAAGTGGATAAATCTTCACTTGTACCAGCCTTCTATGTTCATACTTCGCGTAATGGTTTCTCGTTTCCAGGTAAAAGTAATGGGAGACGCAAATATGAAAAAAATGATTATTCGAAAAACTTCACAGTAATAATCAAGTTTAAAAGATAGCGTCGAGACGGTTTTCCGGTGACATTTCTTAATTAACTACTAGTGGTTTGCGGGAATAACTCTAGATGTCACCTAATTCCATTTAGGCTTTTTAGTAACTATTTAGAACCTTTTGGCTAAAGTATAACCCACTTTTCCTCAGCGGTAGGAAACTGAAAATTAAGATAATTAGATTTTAACTAAAAGGTTATAGGTTCAAATCCTGTGATTCACTTCGAATCATCACCAAATATTACTAACTCTTATACAAAATTGTTTAACTCAGTCAGTCAGTCAGTCAGCTACAACGTAGGACCAGGCACATATGTGCATCGGTCCAGGTTGCCATACCTCATTAGCACAACAAGATGAACACCGGATTCATAGGAGTGGTTAGGTCAAAGGTTGCAATAAGGATATAGTATAGGAAGAAAGAATTAGTTCGTAGACAGAAAGAATGAAGTGATTTTAATCTTTTAGTTTAAGGGAAGACAGGGAGTGTATACACCGACGCCATTGTGATCGATTCTGAGCCATGTCACCAAGAGTCTCCAACCATTGGTTACGAAAGTCACGCGGACCCCAACCAAGTAGTCTGCATCTACCAACATGGCTCAGACTAGAAGTTAGTGACTTCAAGCACTGATGTCACGTTTTGGTTTGGCCGCCCCTAACTTTCTTCCAACCATTTCCAACACTAGTCAGCACTGAGCGTCGTGGTAATCCGGTGTTCAGGTATACACAACACGTGGTCCAACCATCTCAGTCGATGAAGACTCATAACCTCATCAACTGATTTACCATCATTCCCTAATACCCTGCGTCTAACCTCACTATTACTTACCCGGTGATCCCAGCAGATGCCAGCAATATTTCTAAGGCATCTGTGGTCAAATACTAGTAGCTTACGGGTGTCTTCTACTCTTAATGGCCATGTTTCGCTGCCGTAAATTAAAACAGAACGGACTGCCGCGCAGTATACTCGTCCTTTTGTTGATAGACGGATATCTCGCCTTCGCCAAAGGTGACGTAAGTTGGCAAAAGCCAAACGAGCTTTTCGAATCCGTGCTGAGATTTCGTCAGACATCAACCCATTAGGGCTGATCAGACTTCCAAGATAAGTGAAGTTGTCAACGCGTTCAACTACTTCACTCCCTATCCTTAGTTCAGGTGTTGACGCAGACCAGTCCTGAAGCAACAACTTGCATTTAGAGGGAGAGAAGCGCATCCCAAACATTCTGGCATAGTTGCTTAGTGGTACCAGAAGACTCTGCATTTTGTCAGCGTCTTCACCAAACAGGACTATGTCATCTGCGTATTTTAAGTCGATAAGTGGACCTCCTGGAAGGAGATCAATACCCGAGAATTCAGTCGACGAGAGTGTTATTTCCATCAATAGGTCTATGATGAAGTTAAACAAAAATGGAGAAAGTGGACAGTCTTGACGGACACCACTTGAGGTTGCAAAAGTAGATGACAGTTCGCCATAAGCCCTGACTCGACTAGTAGTGTTCGAGTAAAGAGCCTTCACAAGGTTTATGTACTTCTGAGGTACGCCTTTCAATGACAGACACTGCCACAGAGTCTCGCGGTCTACCGAGTCAAATGCTGCTTTTAAGTCAAGAAATACCACCATCGTCGGACGCCGATAGGTATGCCTGTGTTCTAGAACCTGACGAATGGTGAATATGTGGTCGATGCAGCCACGACCAGGTCTGAAGCCAGCTTGGTTCTCTCGAGTTTGTAGTTCACGAGTCTTAGTTAGGCGTTTGATAATTATCGAGGCCAGTATTTTAGATACTATGTTTGTTAAACTAATCCCTCTATGGTTGTCACAGGATGATTTTGACCCTTTCTTATATATTGGGACGATAAGTGACTGCGACCAGTCAGATGGGATAAAGTCTAATTCCCAGATCTTAGCTAAAATATTAGTCAACTTAATCGCTAAAATTGAACCACCATCCTTAAAGACCTCTGGAGCCAATCCATCTGGACCAGCTGCCCTTCCTCGTTTCAGATTAACTATAGCCTTTTGAACTTCAGCAAGAGTAGGGGGACCTACTTCAATGTTCCATTCACGCTGTCTGGGAACGGAGGGTAGTTGTAGAGTAGCTGAACTGTTCCCTAAAGTGTTCCGCCCATCGTTCTAAACGCCTGGACTTGGAGCAGATGAGTGTATCGTCTTTTTCCGATATAATCTCACTTACACTTGACTTATTAATTCCAGTTTCTTTTATTAGTCTGTAAAGCTGTCTTGTGTTCCCTATAGTCGCCGCCTTTTCCATCTCTTTTGCTTTCGATGCCCACCACTGCTCACGGTCGTTTCTTAGGCTTTTTCTTAACCTAGATCTGATTTGTTTTCGCTCTTCATCATGTTCAGAACCTGATGGGACGAGTTTGCGAGAATCCATCAGTGTGACAGACCTTGAAGAAATCCACTGGTTCCTTGCAACTCTGTGGTTTAAGTCACTAATAGATGTCACTGCTGTTTCCATAGCTGATTGTATGCCCTTCCAAGCAACATCTGGGTCAGCCTCGTCTTCACAACTACCTAAGTGTGACCTCAGTTGTTCCTGGAACCTACTTTTGGTTTTCTCGTTACTCAACTCAGTTCTAACGGGTCTTTTTAATATGGCTTTTTTGCGTCCAGTGAGGCGCAAGCAGATGCGTGCCCGTATTAGGGCGTGGTCGGAGTCCAAGCAGGTACTCCAGAATGAGCGACAATCTTCTACCGACCCTCTACAACGATGACTGATGGCAATATGGTCTATTTGAGTCCATCGTTGGTTTGGTGTAAGGGGTCTCCATGTTAGACGATGTCTCTCCTTATGCTTAAAGTTTGTGTTCGCTAAAAATAAACGATTGTCTGAGCATAGCTGCAGCAGACGATCACCATTATCTGTTCGCTGTGTCGGAATACTAAAATATCCACCTAAATGCCTTTCTGATTGGTTTAAACTGCCTATCTGAGCATTAAAATCACCTGCTACGAGTACTATGTCTGAGCGTTTAGCTTTCTGAAGAAGTTCGGATAGCTTTCTGTAAAATTCATCTTTCACATCATCTGAGCTGCAGTCAGTGGGAGCGTAGGCAGAAACGACAAAAAGGCAACGACGTGTGTCCCTATCCTTCCGAGTTCTTACGTAGCCGTTCAGCCGAACAGCACATAGACGACTGTTGACGGGGATCCACTCTAGCAGTGCTTGTTTAACTCAAGCTAAGACTCACAAGCAGCAGTTGGATGCAATACATGGTTCTAACCCTAGTGTGATCGTAGATGTGCACTACAGGGGAATCCTACACTAGAATGAAAAAGCTGTTCAGTACACCGTGATTTCCAGTAGTAACACAACTAAGATAAATCTGTGACGAATACAATTCATATATTGAACCAATCTACACAAAACTTCATCCAAGTTATAATATTCAGATTAATAGTGACTTATTTCAACGTGTTCTTAAAGTTTAATTAAGACATTGTAGGCGGTGGAGTTCAAACATGTTGAAAGTGAAACAATTGTCATTAATAGCACTCAATAATCGTCACACTAACTCACAAAGTAATTGAATTTGAAATTATAACATTGAACCCCATATTACTAGTTCATTGCGAAACTTGAAAGTCCCATGTTAACTCCATAACGAGGTCGTCCGTGCTCATTCCTCAATAGTTTTATACTAGAATGAAACAGCTATTCTTATTTTAAATAATACCCCAACTGAGATCAATCTATAAAGAATCACAACTTATTAATCATTTGAATATATTCAGTTTATTCATTTAAACGAATAAGACAAAAAAGCGCCTATATGAGTTAATGAATTATAGATTAAGTAATAAATAACATAGAACTTCCTTTTAAAAATATTGAAACAAAAATTATAAAACAGTAAACAAATCACAAATAAATTAATTCATGACTAGAATGACTACTGACAAATAAAATAAAGTAGTATTAGTAAAATAGATGAATTTTATCACCAATGTAAAATAATAAAAACAAAATTAATCAATTTTACAAACATATTTCACAAAAAGAAACAAAATATTATGAATAATGATAATAAAATTCAAAAAATAACAATTGAATATTTTCTTTTAATTCAATAGAAACTAAAACATAGAAAGCATAAAATGATCAACTCCAAATGAAATGCACAAACACACACACACCACACAGACGGATACAATAATATATATATTTATCATTATGAGTCTTATTACAATTATTGTGTATTATGCAATCTAAGATAAATAAACAAAAGTCAATAGGATTATAAATGCGTATAATAGCTCAAAAGAATCTTGTGTAGGGAATATTATTCATGATAATAACCAACCAACCAGCTTCATGATAATATAGTTGTAGCACGTTCAGTTAAATGATGAAGAAGATTTTCAAAGCTAGAAAAAAGAGAGATAAATAGAAGGCAACAAGAGTAACGAAAAAACTGTTAGATAATACAAGAAGTTGAAACATACTGATATATGTAAATTAAAACAACAGGTATATATTTATTCAATCTTTTGAATAATATGTTATATATATATTCTTCCGATTAATGTCTGGATTGAAAGATATTTCAATGTTAAACAAGATGGTATGATTTAATTAAAACGAAAGTTTAACAACAGTAGAATCTAACCAAAGTGTGGATCAGTACTGAATAATACGCTTCAAAATCAACAAGGTGAAATCATGTAATGTTAATCGTGGTAAAGATTTACTCATAAGAAATATGGATCGGCGTAGAACATAGCATATATATATATATATATATATATATATATATATCAGTTCATGCTGACACACTATATCAAAACACTCACATGAAATTATCAAGACAAACATCAAGCAGAGCAGCACTATTATAATTATTATTAGGAGGAGGAGGAGTAGAAAAAGCTATGCCTAAACAGTACCACTCAAAAAGAACGGATGGATTCGCGTAACAATCTGAGCACCTGGGAGTATCACAGCCTACACACAAATCAAGTGACTTGTGTGGCGCATATGTATTCAGTGCACCTTTGTACCAATATTTATGTTCAAATAAGTAAAAAAAAATAAAAAGTTGGAAAGTAGTCTTAATATTCAAGATCTGAGAGAAGATAAAAATTAAGTGCATCTGAGTCACATCATACAACGTGTCCAACCACTATTATGATAATCGCGTGAACTCCAACCATGTATTCTGCGCATACTTATATCACTCAGTTCAACAAACAATAACTTAATGGAATGATGCCACTTTTCGGGTTGGTCGACTCTACTGTTTTTCTAACCAACACCTATACAGCATTAGACATTACGTGTCAAGATAGGCGGTGACTGGGTATACATGATATGTGTTCCAACAGCTCCAGGCAATGAAAATTCACTACAACTGTACAACCTCTAAAAATAAAATCATCGGAAACAGAAATCCTCTTTATTAAAATATTTTTGTAAATTATATCTTGACTGGAATTATGAATTTAGTCTTAAACAAACATCTTATTTCCCTAGCTGTTAAAACACAGAAAATATTAAAAGAAAATTATTCAACTTACATCATTTTTATAGTTAAACGGTTTTTCCTATTTGGACGAAGTTTTTCAGGTGGTTCAGGCAACATAGGTCCTTCTACTTCTGGATCCTTTTGACTTGACAAAAAGTATGTTACAAAAAAGGTTAACCACTTAACCTTAAGAGGGTATACATTTTTCATGTAAACATGTATAAAACAATCCTGTTTTTGATGAGATACAGAAACACTATTCTACTCGATTGTTACCAATGTTGATGTTACAGAAATCCAGTTTGGTTTCATTTTGTAATAAAAAAGCCTATAACTTATTGGTCTAGATACAAAATTTTCAATTACGGGATAATACATTCCACTACTCGCTAACGTCAACATTGTTTCGTTTAAGGTGTCCCGAAAAATACTTCAGCAACTCCGAGCAAGACCTAGCCCCACACACACACATCTCCCCGTGGTTCCCTCGAAGACAGTGGAAAAAGTCCCATGAACTAACATGGAAGGACAAAAGGATATTAGACTAATCACACACTTTATCGAAACACGGATTGATACTTACTCATGATACAAGCTATCTGGGTAAAAAACATCAAATATGGGAGAGGAAACCATCATAACCTCCCCATGGAGTATCGATGCCTATGTGTATACTATCGGATGCATAGGTCTTCGACTTATGCATTTTATTTTTGTGTGTAACTTATACTTTCAAAGCTAATAAGCAACAGGTAACCCTTCCCAGTAGCTAGTCCATACTTTAAAGGAGTAGACCCAGTAAAGTTAGTCACTTTCACCATAATGTATGACTTAAGGGACACCTCACCAACCCTCATCCTAGGCTAGTATTTTAGACGCTATATTAGTCAAAATAATCCCTCTATGGTTATCACAGGATGATTTCGGCCCCTTCTTATATATTGGGACGATCAGTGATAGCGATCTGTCGGATGGGATTAGGTTCAGTTCCCAGATTTTAGCTCAAATATTAGTCAGCCTAATCGCTAAAACTGGACCACCATACTTCAAGACCTCTGAAGCCAATCAATCTGGACCAGCTGCTCTTCCTCGTTTCAGATTAGCCATAGCTTTTTGAACTTCAGTTAGGATCGAGGGGACTACTTCAATGTTGCATTCAGGGTGTTTGGAAATGGTGGGTGGTTGCAGAGTAGCTGAAAGCCAGCTGAACTACTCCTTAAAGTGTTCCGCCCATCGTTCTAAACGTCTGGACTGCGAGCAGATAAGAGTGCCATCTTCTTCCAAGATTGTTTCACTTACACTTGACTTCTTAATTCCGGTTTCTTTTATTAGTCTGAAAAGCTGTCTTGTTACCTACAGCCATCGCGTTTTCCATCTCTTTTGCTTTAGATGTCCACCACTGTTCACGGTCGTTCCTTAGACCTTTGTTTAACCTAGATCTGATTTGCTTTCGCTCATCATCGTGTTCAGAGCCTGATGGGATAAGTCTGCCAGAATCCATCAGTGCGATAGACTTAGAAGAAATTCATTGGTTTCTTGTAACCCTTTGGTTTAAATCACTAATAGATATCACTGCTGTTTGCATATCTCTCCAAGCAACATCTGGGTCAGCCTCGTTTTCAGAACTGCCCAAGTGTGACCTTAGTTGCTCCTGGGATCTACTTCCGGCTTTCTCGTCAATCAGTTCAGTTCTAATGGGTCTTCTTAGTGTGATTTTTCTGAGTCCAGTGAGGTGCAAGCAAATGCGTACCCGTATCAGAGAATGATCAGGGTCCAAGCAGGTATTCCAGAATGAGCGACAATCTACTATCGACCCTCTCCAACGACGACTGATGGCAATATGGTCTATATGAGTCCACCGTCAATTTGATGCAGGGAATCGCCATGTTACATGATGTCTCTTCGTATGTTCAAAATTAGTGTTTGCTAAAAATAAACGACTGTGTGAGCACGGTTGCAGCAGACGACCACCATTGGGTCGCCAGATACACGGAGGGTGTATCTCGTCAAGTGAATGATCACACTATGATCCTGTTTTTTGGAGACAGAATACATCAATGGTACGAGATTCTACGGTTTTAGCCAAAGAGACCTGTTGGCCGATTTGACATGGGTTGGATACGTTGGAGGCTCCAATGTGTAGTTTGGAGCGAGGTTTCAGAAGACCTGGGACAGTGTTTCGCGCACTAGAATCGTTGGACATGGTGACACTTGAGGAGGAAGTCAAAAGAGGAAGTTAAGAGTTGAAAGTCGAGGTAGGAAGAATAATAGGAATTGGAGAGGCAAATTGATTATGAATACAGTGACAATGGATTAGATTAGCATAACATGTACAATCATTTAACAAAATCACGAGGAAGTGATTAGCCATTTCTTTCTAGTTTGAAGTCCTTCAACAGTGCGTGCTCATGACTAAACATGTGGTCGGATTCAAGACTCTGGCTTAGCCTGAAGCTTCAATCGACGGACAATACAGCACGACCCTTATCTTATACCCAATCAGTAGCGACCGTGTCTATCCCAGCATGGTTAACTTCGTATCGATCAATGGATTTTTAATCGAACTCAACTCCGATGTCTATAACCTCAAACCGGAGAATTTCCGAAATTAGCTCTCTAAGCTAGTCACTAATACACGCATGATGGTTGTTAATATACTGGGTATTGTGGGAACAAATAACTAACTCGCTCCCTCACTGGATTTCAATAACTGTATAAGTGATATCGGTTTGTGATGAAACCTACCCCCTTCTCTTAACAATAATAATAAAAGTAGTAAAATAACAAAAAAGGACAAAACATACTTTTCTAACTCTAACAGTCTCAATTCTTCTTCCAATTCAATTAGTCGACATTTAAGTTCATTTCGTTCATGTAGCAGATAACGTAATTCTTCTACAGAGATATATTTATTAGTAGTATTTGATTCTTGTTCAAAATTAATTGATTCTAAACCTTGTCCAGCAGGTAGTTGTAGTATTGATTCACATGTATTCGACTTGATGTTTTGAACAAAAAAAATTAAATATAAAGAAGAAACAATAATTGACAGTGTGTAGAAGAAAATTATTAACAATTTGTGGGTTGTATTCTTCATACCCGTTGATCTCATTTGGGACACTACTGAAAACTAAGGATCAATCTGTGACAATCTACAGTACACAAATCAATCTCCATAAAACTTTCCACTCAACTATAATAGTCGCCTCATTGGTAACTTGCTTCAATATGTTCCTGGATTCTGACTGAGAAGTCGTGACTGGTGGAGTTCAAACATGTCGTGAGTTAAACAGTTTCAAAGTGACATTGAATGATCACTGTGCTATCGTTTGAATTGCTTGAAATCGCAGCGGTAACATTAGGTACTAACATTTTGTTTGTAAATTTTTCCCCCAGACCTGAATGTCCTGGGGCCAGGAGTGTGCAGAGTCCAATACTAGGGCGAGACATCTGTTCGGTGCTCCTTGGTTTCCAATAAAACCCCAAATAAGGTCAATCTGTGATGAAAACAACCCACAAACTAAACTGTTATCCCCATATCCACTCAAGATGAATACCAAAGGATTCGAAATAATTGTAGCAGCAATAATAATGATAAAAACGAAGCATTGAAAATATGATTTAAGAAGACGGAATCAACAGCTATACATGAAAGAATACTGGAACTTAAAATCTATAGAATGACAAAGAATGAATGCACCTGAGTCGCTGGGACCAATGTTAAGCCACGTCACGTCTCCACTCCAACCACTGATCGTGGTTATCACGCTGACCTCAACCAGGTAGTCTGTACCTAGTAACGTAACTCAGATCACCAGTCAATGATTTCGTGGACTGATGCTATATTAGGATTTGGCTGCCCTTAAGCTTATATCCAAGTTATTCGTACTCTATCCATCACTCGACGTTGAGGTAGACAGTGGTTTGTCATACATAACAGATGTTCTAAAAACCTTAATCGATTGCTAAATATATTAACTATAAAACTCAATGACTTGAGTTTAGATGAAAAGCGTCTTGAAAACAGTTTTAAATCTAGTAATGAAATCTCTCAGGTACAACTTTAGAAAAGTGCTTACTTTCCGTTCCTGAAAGTAACCAAGCCACATATATAATTATTACTGTTGATACATCAATATTTTTTACCAAGTCCTGAATATTAACAACATGAAACAATCCAAACTGTGAATAATAATAATAATAATAATAGTTATATTTTTAAGGCTATCAGTCACGTAAATAATGAAGCTAAAATATTTTTGAATACGTGTTAGGTTGTTAGAGATACTGAACAAGAAACGCTCCTTGACCAAGATTTCAAACCAGTTAAGACCCAATATTAAGGGAACTGATACTCAAATCTAGATCATTGAGTATCATAACTCAAGGCGCTATTCAAGCAGCGACCAACCTCTTATAAGACTGGGATATTTACACTAACTTATCCCTGAGTAGTGTCCAACGTCAATAAATTCTACCTATGCACAAAATACAGTAATGATTAGCCAATGATGTAAAAAATCAAATTATGTAACTTAAAGCTAATATTACCATTATTCCAGATTGGTCATTATGTAGCGTATCGTTATTTGATAAATCTTTCAGTAAATTAGCCAATTCTCGTTCTTTTACACATAACTGTGTTTCAAGTGTGGCTTTTTCTGACACCAATTGACCAGTTTGACGTCTATGAGGGGCACAAGATGCCAATAATTGACCGCTTTGACGAGCTAAACGACAAACTTCTTCTTCCGACTTTAAAGAAAAAATAAAGCCGAGCATAAGATACAGCAACAAAATAAGTTTAATATTTCAATAAACATCTACGTTATCAATCCTTATACATTAATTCTTTTAAAAAATCACAAACTATCCCCTTCTGTTTTAAATCAAAAAGACTCATTTAACTGTGAAAGATAGTTTACTATCTTATCTGAACTTTCTATTTGATTTCGAAAAGTTTCTGAAAAACTCAAAATGGTTACGACCCAGCTATAGGTTACACTAGACAATAGTAGAGATTTGTAGTTCAGATGCATAATTTTGGTGGAGTTTCGTCCTCTGAGTTAGATTGTTTAGTCGTGAAAATATGCTTGTTCCTCTAAACAACACCATCAATACAAATGCTAGGGACAAGTGGGATATTCAGATTTCTCCACAAATGACTGGCAGTTTGTCCAGTTGACTTTGATCTTAATTGGTTATTCTTAACCTTTAACCTGTTGTTTTCTACATATTCATTTTGTCTATCTCCTTCCTTTGACCTGATTATTGATTTTGTATTCATCTATGGTTTTTCTGATACCACTTGTTATATCCTAGTGAAGATTAAATTAAGTGTAACTTCTGAGGACTACTAATGGGTCAATATTATATATATTCTTATTGTATAACTATTCAGTGACCAGATGATATATATCTATACTCCTCTTATTACAAGCTTTATTTTGATCTATAGACTATTATGATACGATTTACTGTTCTTAAATTATACTCAGTTTACTGATTACAGTCTACCACGTTAACAGCCACATTTTGGCTTGATCTTGTATAAATGTTATTTCCTATTTTATAGTGTGATACGGTCTGTTTGGCTGATATATAAATTAAGTATGCTTGAAATGAATGATTCGCATAGTGGAATGTGTTATGAGCGTTCTGGACTCAATTGGAACGGCTAGGAGAACAGAGGACCAATAATAAGGCTAGGCTGCCCATACCGGTCGAACGTCATTGGTTTGGAACAGTATTAAGATTGTATAAGTCGCATTTCGATTGGCGAATAAATCACGTGATAATTAGCCGAGCTTAAAGTCACAACACTACTACTATCCAACAAGTTAAATATAACACAATACATCGGAATCATAAACCAGCCTGAGTCAAACAACCATTAAATACCTGAAATCACTAGGCGGCCGTTTCGTTCGAGTATGGGACTCCTAAGCAGTGCGCATCCACGACCCCATGACCGGGATTCGTAGATTGGTTGAAATTACACTTGCAACCATTGGATCCCGGCTCAGTCGCATAGAGCTTAGGCGTCCGCAAGTGAGACAGAAGGTCCTATGTTTTATCCCCGGTTACGAGGTTTTGAGTGCGCACTGCTGGGAAGTACTATGCTAAGATGAAATGACCGTCCAGTGCTTTAAGGTTTTCAATCATTGTCTGATTTATGTAGGTTCGTTATTCCAGTGAAACTCAACAATCTTCATGACTTGTACTGACCTACAATAAATTTCATGGAAATTCAACAAAAGGATGAGGTTTTACTAATAATGGGGTCATATGGTTGCTATAATCACATAAAACCATTATTTTTCATTCAGTCAGTCAGTCAGTAACAACGCAGAACTTCGTACGTACGTACATCAGTTCGAGTTGCCACACCACATTAGCACAGAGATGCAGTTTTCGATTCAAATCCCGTAGTGGTAGAGGTAATAAGAGTATAAGCAGTAATCGGGAAGATTAGGGTTTGGAGATGTTATTTAAAGAGTATAATCCAGTGAAACAAATTTGGAAAGAGGAAAAAAGGGACATGAAGAATTCAGAAGATTAGAATTTGGGAGAACACAGAGAGTGGATGCACCTGCGCCATTGCAAACGATTTTGAGCCATGTCATTCAGGGTCTCTAACCATCGGTTGCTATCATCTCGTGGTCCCCAACCAGGTAGTCTACACCTACCAACATGACTCAGTTCACTTGTCAGTGACTTCATGGACTTGTGCCATGTTTTGGTTTGGCCGCCCCTAGCTTTCTTCCAACCTACTCCTATACCACTGAACATAGCACGTCGAGGCAGTCGGTGGTTGGGCATACATAACGCGTGTCCCAGCCATCTCAACTGATGAAGTTTCACTACTTCATCAATTGATTTGCCATCCTTACCTAGTACCCGTTTCCTAACAACTGTGTTACTTACTCGATGGTCCCATGATATACGAGCAATGTTTCGAAGACACCTATGGTCGAATACTAGTAGCCTACGGATATCCTCTACTCTTACCGGCCATGTTTCACTGCCATAAAGTAGAACGGAACGAACTGCTGCGCAGTAAACACGTCCCTTGGTTGATAGACGGATATCTCGCCTACGCCATAAATGACGCAAGTTGGCAAAAGCTAGTCGAGCCTTCTGTATCCGTGCTGAGATTTCGTCACACACTAAACCACAAGGGCTGATGAGACTTCCAAGATAAGTGAAGCGGTCGACACACTCAACTACTTCACTCCCTATCACTAGTTCGGGTGTCGATGTAACCCAATCCTGTAGCAACATTTTGCATTTCGAGGGAGAGAATCGCATCCCGAACATGCTTGCATTGTTGCTTAGAGTGGTCAGAAGACTCTGCATTTTGTCAGCGTCTTCACCAAATAAAACTGTCATCTGCATATTCTAAGTCAACAAGTGAACCTCCCGGTAAAAGTTCAACCCCTGGAAATTTAGATGAGGAGAGTGTTATCTCTAAAAGTACGTCGACCACAAAGTTGAACAAGAATGGGGAGAATGGACAGCCCTGACGAACACCACTTGAAGTAATCAATTCTGATGACAGTTCGCCATAAGCTCTTACTCTACCAGTTGTGTTCGAGTAGAGAGCCTTTATAAGGTTAATGTACTTCTTTGGTATTCCTTTCAGTGACAAACACTGCCATAGAACCTCACGATCAACAGAGTCGAATGCCGCCTTAAGGTCGAGAAATACTACCATTGTGGGGCGTCTGAATGTGTGTCTGTGTTCTAGAACCTGACGTAGTGTGAATATCTGATCTATACAACCACGTCCAGGTCGAAAACCGGCCTGGTTTTCTCTAATCTGCTCTTCACGAGCTTTGATTAGGCGTCGAAGTATTATTGAAGCTAATATTTTAGACACTATATTGGTCAAACTGATTCCTCTGTGATTGTCACAAGAGGACTTTTGTCCTTTCTTATAGACTGGCACAATCAGTGATTGAGACCAGTCAGATGGGATTACGTCCAGTTCCCAAATTCTACCTAAGACCTCGATTAATCTCATTGCTAATACTGGACCACCATCCTTAAAAATCTCAGGAGTAAACCTGTTAGGGCCTGCTGCTCTCCCTCGTTTCAGATTTCCTATGTCTTTTTCAACTTCGTCCCAACGTTGGACCCAAATAGATCACATCGCTATCAGCCACCGATGGAGGGGCTCGATAGAAGACTGTCGCTCATTCTGGAGCACATGCCTAGATTCAGATCATGAATCCATTGCAATGGACTACGTTCACAATTAAATTTGAACCAGCAAATAGCATCTAAGTAAACGGAGTTTTAGTGTTCTACCGATTGAGTTAGGATATGTTGATATCAATTCAGTCAACTCTAATTTAGCTTAGTGTAATTTGATACGATAAATAAATAACTGAATTATGATGAAATTTCAAACTATACATTAATTACACAGTAAACGTATGGCTACAATTCACTCAATATAGAATACTACACATTAATACTGTAATGTTCCTGGGAACAGCAATTTAACGAAGAATTATTATTATTGTTTTATAGTGTGAAAAAACGGTTGAATATATTATGGTCATCATGCAACAATGAACATGATAGACGACAGATATATCAAAAAAATGTACTTTTTGTAAAAGTCTCAACTTTGTAGTGGTGACTTTGTGACCAATAACTCTTTAGTCTAAAGACTAATGAACATGAAGGCCAACTATTTTAGTTTATGTGTGTTGAGTTGGTCAGTAATAATGCAGCAGATTTACTAAAGTGAATCGAACAAATTTGTCACACCTTATATTAGAATATGAAAGAAAATCAGCAAAACGGAAATTGATTTGATCGAAATAATAATATGAATGTCAACTGCGGTGGAAAAAAGTCTGAAGATGAGAAATCTATTCCCTAAGGTCTCAACTAGCCGATCCAAAGAACAGATAATTTGTACCTCTATTTTTCCATTTAATTCGTACAAGTCAGTTCTGTACATTAAAGTAAACAGTAGTTGAATTCGTGTAACACAGAACTTAACACCATTAAATCTCTTAATGTTAACACTAATAAATGAACGATGATATTTAAGACAAAAAAATATAAACTGAAACCATTTTAACGAGAAAGTCAAGAAAAATGATCACAACGATGTGGATCAAAAACAACACTGGAGCAATAACTGTAGGTACGAAGAGAAAATAATAATAAAGGATAAGATCATCTATTTAAATACACTTACTGCATCTAATGAAGCGCCAACTTCAGTTAACTCACGACGAATTTGTCGTGCAGTTTTGTAATTAATTGCTACACATTCTTTTAGTTGTTGAACTAGTTGAAGATCAGCTGCACGATCTATAAAAAAGAAATCAAATACTAACTTTAATATATCTATTATAAACTTTTAAATAAACCATTTCTATTAAATTTATTACATTTGTATAGGATATAATGTTAAATAACTTCAGACAATTCAATAACCCAGTATCAGTGCATGATGTATTTTTTCTAACAGTAACTCCATCAAGCATATTTAGTAATACTATCGAATCATAAGGACTGAATTGTAGTATTAAAAAAACTGTAGTCAAAACAAATAATATTTGGACTTTAATAATTTGTCTGAATTATAGGTTATTAATTTCAATGGTTGAGATCATGAGTCAATTTAAGCTAGATCATCATGGAAAATCTGGAAACACTGGACGGCCGTTTCGTCCTATTGACTCATGACCTCAACCACTGTAATTACTATAATGTTTACAAAAACCCCTTCTGATATAAATTACTAATTAATTAATACAAAATTATGAAGTAGATATAATTATTTGAAAGACGAGAGTAAGACGTCCATACCAAATATTAATAAAAATTGAAGACAAATAAATAATTATAAAAAAATAGTCATACTCATAAGGAAAATACAGTTTTAATTAACTGGTAAATAATTAGAAAATGACTCGTAATAGAATGGAGATGAGCTGAAAGCAACCACGAATAGACTACAGTCAAATCTAAACTAATCAGGAAACAGGTTATACAAATGGATATTTTATGGGTAAATAATAATAATACAAAGTGTGAGGAAAGATTTTATATAACTAGTGAAGCTATCAGAGTCTTCTACATATTACTCTGCCTATAAATCGGAAAAACAATGATATATAAATTTGTCCATACAGTCACTAACTTCTGGTCTGAGCCATGTTGGTAGATACAAACTACTTGGTTGAAGTGCACGCGACTATCGTAACCAATGGTTGGAGAATCTCAGTGACAGTTTAAAATCGATCACAATGGCGTAGGTGTATACACTCTTTGTCTGACCTTAAACTGAGATTAAAATTACTATATACCTTTCTTCCTACGAACTAATTCTTTCTCCCTGTGTTATAATCTCTTTTCTTACGGTATGACCCTGCTATACCTATTGCTTAATATTCTTGGACACCAATCACTCGACAAGACCCCAAATCAGAACACGGTTGAACAGGAAGAGAGATTATATTCCAAATAACAAGGTTAGATGGAAGTAAGATGCAAGTAAGAAGCACAATAGGGAAAACGTCAGTATATTGATAGTTTTTACATGAGAAGATTCTAGAGTATTCTCCAAGTATCGACTAGTGCTGATTGGATAAGAATTAGCCGACCAGCGTGCACTAAGGCAATCGTGCATTGAACATGCTTTAATCCAGTCTATGTCCCGCTAACACCCTGTATTATATCCTTACATGCAGCCTTTCTTCTATATATTACTATCATTGAAGTAACTGCTTTTATAAATTTAGTGGTCATCTTTTTATGCTAACACCGATGCATATATGTGCCTGGTCCCAAGTCGTAGATGACTGACTTGTCTTTAAGGATTAAAATTATTCATCGTTCAAACTCAAATAGATTTCGAAAAGTTCTCACATTATTTTTGGTTAGGGTTAGATATTCAAGGTTAGGATTAGGGTTTTCACTGCGAACTAACATCAGCTATAAAATTTTTTTGTAGCTATATGAATGAATGAATTCCAAGCAAAAATTCAAAAGGAGTAATCCTAAGCCCAACTAGTTTACCTACAAATCATAATGCCATCAGGTTAAGTTTTGTTTCAGGACTGAGGCTTATAATTTAGGAATAATGGTAATTTGCCTATCACATAAAATCTACATGGAAGGAATTGAGCATTTGATATGCTTAACACCATCATTTTTGTCCTATAATGACAAAATCTAACTTTTCGTTTTTAATTTAAGAGTTCGGAGTACTATATAGTTACTTTTACTGCTTACTTCGCGTAATTCTTGAATTTCGAGAAAAAATTCATCCTTTTGTTCCCGATAAATATATATCAACCGACGATTTGCAAATATTTCGTCACATCAGATTAGTAAACATATTTAGACAATAATCTTTGAATTCATTAATTACTAAAATTCGCAAATCCTCAGAACTTCGTTCAACTGATATAAATTGGCAAAATTTGATAGTTCACGAAAATAGTCGAGAAAAAAGAGCAGAACACAAAAGAATGTTTCTTCTCGAAGTCAAACTAGTTATTTTAAGCGCTCAATTTTTTCTTGTAGTTACATCACGCTTTGCCTTACTGAATATCAAACCATTGTTTCAAATATTACGATTGAAATTAAATCATATGAAAGTAATATGGTCGAAAGTTCAGTAAAACAAAACCTAGTTACTTGTCAAAATGTACACTAAGAATTGTAGTTGTATGATTTAAAGTAATAGACATAATACATGATACTCTACAGAAATATACCTGAATCAGCATGACTTATTACATGATTAAAACTAGAAATCTCCTTATAAAGACAGTCCTATTTGTTGGGATATTCAGGAAAATATCCCAAAAATTATCCTGTTAAGCCTAATGCTATCCTTGGACATGAAATGGTATCATCTTATTGGTCAATATTTATTTGACGTGTTATTTTCCTGTTGGCCATTATTGTACAATGTTATCTTCTATTTTATGGTACGTTGTGGACTGCTTGAATGGTATATAAACAAAGCATGTTTGAAATATAATGATTCATAATTCCGAGGCTGAGACTTGTGTTCTGGACTCGATTGACTGGGCTAGACAGGGAAGCGAGACCAATCAGAACCCTAGGTCGTTCTACGTGTTTGCGCGTCTTTGGTCCGATCAATAATTCGCTACCCTTAATCCGCAGCATTTATTTTTCACGTTATAACACTATTGTAAATAGCAAGCTATCAGAGTTACTAACTTGGATCACTTTTTACTGGTAATAACTAATTTTGTGGAGAGAATCCTTAAGTCCTCATAAACGTTTTGCTTAATCGAAAGATCGACTTTAAGCCATAATTTAGAGTTTCGTTAAAAAGGCCTATCTTGTTCCCGGTCAAATTACTGTTTTCTATAAATCATATATTCAATTATTTAACCGACTGAAAATGAAAAAACCTACTTTCTTGTTCAGTTAACTGTATTCTTTCTTCCGTCTCCAATAGTAAACTAGACATCATATCAGATAATTCCTCCTCACTAGGTTTGATTTTTAAGTTGTCATAAATTTTGTCCGTGTCAAGATTGACTGAAACACCTTTAAGACCCAACTTTGCAGTGGCTAATAAAAAAGCACCTACTTTTGACTGGTGAGATGTTGGACATATAATATTTGATTCATCACACATTACACAATTTTGTAAGATATTGGAATCTTCCTGTTCTCTGACCTCTTTATGACAAGAAGAAATTAAATGATGTGTTAAACGAACATTTTCTTGTTCTAATTCAGCAATTTCTTGCAATAACTTTTGACTTTCACAATACCAACTTTGTTCAAGCTGTTCCAAACTCTATAATTAAGGGAAAATGTGATTTTTGAAGACCAAATAATTCTCAGAAACACTTGTTTGGTTTATTTTTATGGTATATCAATTAGAAAGGAGAGCCGAGGACAGAGTTGCCTGGAGAATTCTGATCGAAACCCTATGCTCCAAGAAAGATAACAGGAGTAAGCAAGATTAACTGCTTATTATTAAATTAGTTCAACTGTTTTATGAAATAACACTTCATTGACATTAGCTCTTTAAGCATTGATGCTAGGCCTTCAGTATTCAAAGCTGAGCGGTGATTCAGTGATAATGATGGTAGACTTTCAGTCACTTAGTCCCAGGTTCAAACCCAGCTCCACATAATTTAGTTTGTCTAAATCGATAGTTTCACTTTTCCTGGATTGAAGCTAAATACACGAGTCTGTACCTGGCAAATGGAAGTTAAGGAATAACAAAGCACGAATACATTTTTAAAAAGTGCCAGTCAATTTCCTTGATACTCAAAGCTAATTAAAAACTCGGATGAAACTTTTTTGAGATAGATAAAGCAACAATAAGTGTTGATCTATAAGTCTGAGAAACCATAATAGCATTGAAAGACTTACATTTGGATGATAGTGGAAGCGTTAATTTTTATCAAACGTTCCAGAAGTATGTTAGTAAACGCCACGGAGATACACAACATTCGTTTAAAGCTTCCTGACTACTAGTGAAATATAGGTGGCAATAAAAACTAGCATACGGAATCGAAAATAACAATTTCACTGACATAAAACTTCCAACGGCATCATTATATTATCACAACCAAATATAAGCCTTTCAAGTATATTTGATATTCTAATGCTCAAGTGAGTAGTCTACACAAAAAAATGAATTCAAAATTGATACTAACTCCATTTTTTATACATCCGGAACAAAATGTAAAATCACTAGGATTATGGATGAAAAAATACTTCCATGTACTTTTATCGACAAAACAAGTAAATAATAAAAAGTACAAATACCTAAAGTAGGTAAACAAGTGGTTAAATACATCTACGTGAACTACATTATAACAAATCAGATATCTAGTAACTCAAACTGACTTTATCATATTTATCTTTAAGTATAATGTCAGATTTCTGATCTTGACGAAGTTCATCTGCAACCGTTTGAAGGCGTGCAATTTCTTCCTTTTCTTTATCACAATAACTAGTACAAGCTTCTAATTCTTCCAAAATATAGACAATTTTCGGCATTAAATCTCTTAATACATCATCACCATACTCATCAACAATTAACTGGCATTCACGACCGATAGATAAGGCTGCATCATATACATCCATTGTAGTAAACATTGTTTATTGGTTTTGAGTCAATCTAAAGTTCTAAACAGTGATATGAACAATAAATTATATTAATTAGAAGCCATAAACAAAGTAGAGTAAGAATTTTCGATCAGATATAATTTCACATTTAAAATAAGTATCTATTATAAGAAATTATTTACTTATAGAAACGTATCTAGTTCTTGTCCAATATATTTAGCATACAAGAGTGAGTAACTAGTTTACTGAATGTGTTCAAATGCTTTTAAACAAACGTTAGACAACTACAGATTTAGTGTGTTTTACAATACACATACAACTAAAACAAATTAACCTAGTGTTCAAATAAAAATCACGTTTACAAAAAAGTGTCCCTTCATTGGAATATTTCTATTAACCCACCATCAACCGATCCTCTTCCCTAATCTCGAAGAACAATCTGATTATAGACCCATTTAGATGACTACATCCTGTTTTTTTAAGACAACGCGCATGCTTTACTCATGTCAGTTAATGTAAATTCATAAGATCACTGACTGACTAAACACATTTACCTAGAATTAAATACAATGTTATATTGTAAACTCAGTAGTTCCATTAAAGGCCAGCGACACTTTGCACGCACCTATTTTTGTATACTTTTAACATAAATGTCTTCTGCTCTTTGTGATTATGATTCACACTTATAGTATAATATAAAGTAACAGCATATTACTCATTTATTTAGTTAGACAAAAACATTGGTACAAAATGGCACCAAAATATATATGCGCCACAAAAAGTAGCTAACATTAAGTTAGTTTGTGGGGCGGAATACTCCCTGAGTGCACAAACCAAAGGTGGTTTTCTTAAGGGGCCAATCACCGAGTCTTTGACCTAGAGATCCAATCCATAAGGCAGTAGAGCAACATTAGATGTAGTCACATGATATCCGATGACCAGGAACAGGTTCATACACCATTTCCTCCCTCAGGATCCTGAAGCCCACTTGCACCACTGGTTTGGAATCAGAGGTTTTCGACTCCCTTAGGTGAATTTTCCGTACCTACTAACCCGGTTCAAGCGCTGGACATTCACTTTTCGTCCTACAAACTTCGTGAACAACAAACTTGACACGTAAAGCCAGTGAGTAGGATTTCCCTACCCATGTTTGTAAAAACCTACTGAAAAGCAAACCGGTCTCAGTTTCCACTACTTTGGATTTATTAATTCTAAGAATTCTTTTAGTTAGCATGTTTATATAACTAAATCAAAAACCCAGTCAAATAAGCAGAGCACATAAAATGGGATCATTCAAAGCATACTTTATACTTGAAAAAAGAAAGCCAATGACAAACACGAAAGTCTAACTAGTTTGCAAATTTTTGTACTCGTCGTTGAGCCAAACTTGAGGATTGGGAGCGAATGAGTGTTATTTGGTCCTGAGATGAACTAACAGCAGTAAACCTTCATCGCTAAGTCAGAACTTTATTAAATTAGAAGTTACCATTAAAGTTTCGCAAGAACTGGATTACTTAATATTTCTTCAAACACTAAATTTGATGGTTTCATTTAGTGCAACAATGTCGTACTTATCAAAAATTGGAAGCAATATGTTCCCAGACTTATAGAACGCACGTCAAAGATTAAAAGAAATTCAGAACAAACAACTTCATTTGTCACAGGTGAGTTCAAGACGTGAGACGTTAAATATGAAATCACGAGTAGCTCGGTATACTTAATAATAAGATGATTGATGAGTCCCATCCTACATAATGGATGGCATTGGATTTGTGATCAACTGCACAAACTTATTTAATAAGTAGATGCTTTTTGACATATATCTCTCATACCACAAGAGAAACACAAAAAGCGTACTTTCGATGGTATTAGGCAGAATGGAAATAGATAGTTCACATACATAATTTGTAAACTAATAATTCAAGAACCCTAGCGTAGATTGCAAACACAATTGTCCAATATCTTGAAATAGTTACAAGTTTTAGGAACTTTTGAGGTACTTTTCGCATAAACCGAGTTACAACATTCCTAGTCGAAATGTTTGATGAGATATTAAATCCGCGAAAATTTCGTAAGTTGACAAATTACTTAGGTTTTGGAAATATTTTTCTTTAGTTTAGAGGCAGTCAATGGCTCTTTGATTTTAACAGTGTATGGTTTCAAAAGGATCACAACAAAATTTCATTAAGACTCAAGGTCAACTGTGCAAGCATTATTGTCTTACCAGAGCAGTTAAAGTGTTCTTCGGAAGTACATAACATGAACAGTTTCTGAAGTTATTAGGCATCCTACTGGCCATTATTACTTATTATCGATTCCCAGTCTGAATTCTTCAAATGCTTCAAATGAAACTTTCTCTTACCGAGCAGTACCAGTTAATCCTAGATATATTCAAGTAGGGATGTACGCAGAAAAATAAGCCAAAGAGCAAAACGTGTCTGAATATTATTGTGGTATGCTGCGCCCTTTCTGAAAAGATGCATATTAAAGTTTCCCCTTATACCATTTCAAGGGAGTTGCTTAGACTAATTTATCCGATAGTGGATTTCAAGACTTGGCTGCACACAAGGAATAAATGGTTTTCCCATAGTTGAAGAACTGTCTTGTACTTAGTTCATAAGCGTCCACCGGTCAATGTTTGTTAAAAACTTAAATTATGTAAGTATTATCGCGAATCTCCAAAATTTACACGATACTGTAAGTCACTAAATCTAGGGATTGGAGGTTACTGAATTTGGCTGTCTTAGGACTGTTATTACTTAAACGACGTTGTATTAACTTGAAACCAACACAAATAGCAAACGAATTTTGCGGACCTAGGATATCAAGACTTTTAATGTGACAAGATATGCAGCACACAGTAGGCACATGACATCAGGAATTCCCAGATATTTTTGCTGTGAAGCAAATCGGGACGAAGATAACTACACTTCAACACTAATGTGTGTCACTAGACCCTAACAAATAGGCAACAGGTACTTGGAGTTTGACAACGCCTTCACATGTAACACTTTTATAATACAATCATATCAATCGAGTTAAATTAAAGGGAGAAATGTGTAGCGTGGAGTCGAGTTGGGATTAACTATGAACACCGCTACCAAGAAACACGTGACAAATATATCAGAAGGCGAAGGTTGAACGTAACCAAATAAATCCATAAAATCCTCGAGAAGCCAAATATCAGAAGGCAGTTAATGGACCAAGTCGAGATATATTTGCTGGCGATCTCGTGGCATCGAAAGGATACCGAGATCGTGCCAGGATACAAGCTTGGTTACAGAATGTAACCGAATTCGCGCGAAGTCACAATCAAAGTGTAAGAATAAGAATGGAAGCACAACATAGCTGTCATTAGCACAGTCAAACAAAAGCACATTAAAACAAACACTGGTACAGTTGATCATAATAATAATTGTTTTTATTAAACCAGTCGTGTTCTCGTGATAAATGTGAGTCACTACAAATGAAGGAGTTCATAGATATATTTTGAAGGCTGGTTTGGGCTGGCTAACAGTTGGAAGCGATGTATAGCACGGCTTACTCAGTCGTGATCTGGTGAGGATTCCTGACTGGTTGCCTTCAGCTAAGAAGTGTTTATTTAACTAGGTCAGCATCAATGTCTAAGACTCACGGAACTATACATTTTTGGGATTGATTTACCGCTACACCACTTTGTCAATATTGTTTTCCGGTAATAAACAAAGCGCTGTCTGGTGATCTCAACAATCTACATGTGCACATAAAGTATTTCCATCACCAGAGCGTTAATAATAATAGCTACGAGGCGCTAATATATTATATACAACTAATAGTCTACATCCACTCAATTCCGTTGAAAATGATGTGATGGCCAATATTGCGTGACCACACTTCAAAATCACACAACGACATGTTCAACCTAACCAGGTGGTTAGGTTGATAGGCATTTTCAATGTTTTTAAAAAATGAATGATATCTTACTTGAAAGAACGTACTTTTGAAATAACGACGAAAAAGTACAATTCTCGTTACTGAAGTGTCCAAATTCAAGTAAAAAAGGGAAAAGAATGTAGTCAACTACTCTTTACTACCAGACTAGTACAAATAATTCGGAAAGCACATTCATTGAGCGATGATAACCCGTTTTAATCACTGGTATTCTGAAAGTTGTTTAACTATGACGTAAACTAAGCTTTTCTTAAATAATAAGCGACAACATCGTAATTCCATTGTTCGCTCTATCACTTCTATGCTCCAACCGCGAATTTTAAGACACCGGACACGGTACCAGATGCAATTAGAATCACAGACATGGAGGTATTAATGCAAAAAAATTTAACGCCAGTACAACTGAGTCAAATTATTGGTACCAACACCTCAACTATGTTGATAATTATTAATAGTGAACGGTTCGAGCAATACTGACAATTGCTCGATCCGTATCGACACCTCTCTAACTCTGACTAAGTTTAGTAAGCGACTTGAAATGCACTGACTATTCTTCCACGGTAGGGATGAGTTTTGCTCAACGAACTTGTTTAGTGTCTGATGTTTTACTGATACGACATATATGACGTTATCAGTCCAAGAATAAGCAATCTAGTTATGAAAGAGCACAGAATTTCTTTTGTGATTTTTGTTTTTTTCAATGTAATATAGCGAATTCGGCTGGTGGAAATCTTTGTTAACTAACATAATTTGATGCGAGAATTCCAACTTGAAATTTTAAAAAATAACCACAAACTTTTATTGGCGATATCCCCCTTGTTGGACGAACAACAATCATCATGATTAGTCAGTCTCAACAAATGAACCATTCACCGATTGCTGAAATACCAAACGGCATAGTCTGCTCCTTTCAATATAAAAATCCCCAAATAGACACTATCCGATCTACTCTCGTCGTAGTGATGATCAAATCTTTGGTTCTAACCTTGAAATTACTGTAATCGTATACATGAAGCAATATGAAAGACATTACTGAAAATAGGCCTGTCACCCTTACGATTTTTACCATTGCATTACCTCTATATTCCGAAATCCGTCAAAATGTGTAGACTTCTAGGTTTTTGTCGTAAAACCCCAAAACATGCGACTTAAAGTGGTCTCAAACATGATTTTTCAAAAGTACTAAATACAAATCGTTGGTAGGAATATTTAAATATTTTGTACCTAATCTTACGTAAACGAACTAATAGAGAATACGCAATACAATCCTTATGATTAGGTCGCAGACAACGGAAACGACCTGCCTTTAAATTTGTCGGCTTATTTATTCGTTCAACAGCCGCTGTACACAAGAACCCCAACAGAAAACATAACGCTAGCCATACGAGATTGCACATTCTGGCACTTGACTGGGATGTGATATTCCACTTCCTCAAATCATGTGACTATCTTAATCATACAATTTATCACTCACTATCTGGAACTGTTAACATCGTACTTAAGATATTGCTAATAGTAATTATGAAACTTATATTACTAACTGAATAATCAGACATAAACTACGTAAGCATTTGGGCAGAATAGGGAGTTAATGTCATCACATTGGTTAATTAACATGCTCTGTATGTTTATTTATGGTATTCAAAGAACACTATGATCAAATTCAACCAATAAATTAAACTATCATCTCACTAACCAAACGCAAACCACCTAACTTGCTGCATATTGATAATAGCATTATGTGAGGGAACACTTTGAATAGACTAAGATGTACTTTTTCATCGATTTTATTTTAATATTAAAAAAAAAGAAAACTGTGATATCTGAATTTTTAAAAGTTGAAGAGAACTATTAAATATAAATAAATATAGATCATATCAGCCGTTTTATAATTATATCTGCGTTTGATAAGCGTTCACGTTGATGTTTCAAGTAAAAAGCGTTCTTGATCAAAACGATATTGAAACTACAAAATTTGAAAGCAAAGAAAGCGGAAAATGGTAGCTTTTATAAGTAATCAGCCATTTATATCAGTTTTTTCATAATGAAATAAAGACCGAACTGTCGTTAATAGTCGACTGCTGAATAAGATTTCCTTATAAAAGTAATTGTACAATATTTGTGCTTTATGAACTACAGGTTGAAATCTATTTGTCAGATACCACTGAATATTAAAAAGCCACCTTAGTCAACATCATATTTCGTTTATTTTTTTAACACTATCAGTTTTTTATAAATACCCTTGAACCTCTATAACACTGTTGTTATCTAACATAATACTACTTGAATAGTATTCAGTTTAATGCTTATTAGAAAACATACGTGCCTATGATTTTACAGCTACAGTGAGAAAATAATCATTAGCAGAATAGTCCTGGTTATTGACTGCTCTGGCCAGACTTGGACAGAATACGCTGATTGGTTTATTTTTAAACTACTCAAAACCAACAGACGAATCGGGAATATGATAGAATATTCTAATTTGAGTTCTATATAAACTGCAATGAATTTATTACTGTACCTATATTACTCAAGTTATTGCGACACATGTTACCCGCTGTCAATTCTTGTTCTGATTTGAGAAGAATCAAGTGAAGTAAAGTATCGGGAAATACTAAATAGTGAGAGAACAACAATAATTGTAAATAATTATTTTTTATTTAGTCTATTTGTCTTTTTTCTAAATATATAGATGTATATTTCTGACTTAAGAGAGATATATAAAGTGGTTTCTTAGCTGTTTTACATAGATCATAAGTATGGTCTATACAGGATACTGTGGAAGATTATACCTAAAGTACAAACTCAAAACAGTTCACATATTTACTAGCGAAGTATTCTCTGCATCCGTATGTGACTACGGATAATATGTACACGCTGTCTACCCAAGGCAGATTCATAGATAATTTACAAAAACCAATATAATATATGAACTAACTGAGGCATCATTGTTCAAGTGTTTAGGTTTAACTTATGGATAACAATTTCCGATGGACAATTTGGACGTTGTGTAGCTAAACGCCGTAATGGAAATGTTTATGCAAACACCCTACTCACATAAAAAATCGAAATTCCGTGAATCGATTGGATTAGCTAATAGACACTGATAACAACAACTAGGAGTTGATAATAGTTGTCTCCTAAGGACTTTTAACATCTGGTGCCAACGATGTACTCGACAATGTGTATTCAAAACAAAGATGGTTCAATTAGTGTAACGATCTTGTAAAACAGTATCAGTAGTTTATTTTATGAATATATGTATTCGGTCACAACAAATACCACGATCAGGAATCAACCATATTGCTTAAGATATATTTGATCCTTGTCTTTCATAAATATAAAATATACAATTATCTTACATTCAAAAATTTCTCGTCGATTCTTCATGAGCCTTTTTCCCCATGTCCTTTAATATTATATCAAATTGGAACGGCAGAAATGCCAAGTCGAAGCGTTACTACATAGTATTGCTGTCAGTTCGTTAGTCCCAGTTAGTCACTTCCTTTCAGGTGTAATAACTCAATGGTCATCAGTAAAAATGAAATTAAAAAGGTTAACAAATATATGATTTACTGCGGAAATTACCTCAGAATCTATTTCGTCAAATGACTTGTACTTTGATGCTCCGTTAGTCTGAAAATATAAGTATACAAATTGTCAATTATATCACTTGTTTTTGATTGAGATCATGAACCGATTGATGTTAGACCACCACAATTGAAAACCTGAAAGCACTGGACGACCGTTTCGTCTTATTGTGAGACTCCTCAGCAGTGCGCTCGCGGGATTCGAACCCAGGACCTTCGATCTCGCGCGCGAACGCTTAACCAACTGGACCACTGAGCCGGCATCCAGTGGTGATAGTTTCTAACATCAACCAATCCACGAAATTGCGCGACCAACTTCCTTGTACTGAGGTAGATACCTGTCTCTACCCGACAAGGATTAGCTCCACTGGTCACGGCTTCTCACCAGAATTCCAAGAATTCCCTCATGAAGCTAGTCACTAGTGAGCACATGTGTTATTTGTTCGGTTTGGGAAATTTCATCTACTCTACTTAAATGAAGGGAATCCAACAGGAAGGTGAACATTATGGTAAATGGTTTAACGAAGGATCTCAGTAAGAACTCACTACAGTTATATGAAGTAAGCCAACTGATTAACATGCCTAGCTTTAACACAATATGACTAGAAGCTTAGCAATTAAATATACGTGTAATCAACACTTGAGTTTAATTACCTGTTTATTAATCAGTTTTGTGACAAGTTTAAGTAATGGAAAAAGCTGACCATATTTTATCTACTCAACGTCTGATTGTCGGCCTGAAAGATGTCTTCCCTCTATGTTGAATTTACCAAACATGATGTAATTTTTTTTACATTTTTTACTTGGAACAGATGTAGGAGAGACAGAGATATACTTTGAAATAAAGAAGCAAAAAAGTCCGTACTTACTCTGCATTCCCCTGGTTCGTCAGTAAGATAACGTTTGTTCAATTCGAAAGGAATCCCAGACAGAGCTGAATTATTAAGAAACAAATGTGAAAATGAATAAATCAAACACTGAAAGCATCATTAAATCTTACATATGTCTTATCGCTAGTTATTGTCAACTGCTTTTGTAATCAAATGTAAGTTCGTACTATGTGCTTAGTGAGTCACCAGCCCATTATTTTCCTTATTCTAATTTTCCCAGATTTCCTCATATACGTTGCTCTGTATGCCTTTCCAACACAAAGCACCCTGAGGCTAGACGCGAAAACCTACATATATATTTTCAATAACTCAAGTGATTTACATCTATTGCAATTCTAGTCATGTAATAAGGTTGCATGCTAAAAAGTTATGAAAGATTGTCACAAGTTTCTAAATTCAGTCCCTTCTTCCCTAACATTACACACTGGACGAAGGCACATAATTCAGGTGACGAATGAAAGCAAAACATCAAAACAATACTACAGTGCTACACAACCAGTGAGTTTAAAGGACATTCAAAATAACTAAGAAAGTAATTTGTCATTGTGGTAAATCTGATGAAATAGTTAATACTGAGAATAATTATAAGAAAAACGTCCAATGGTGCATTGGTTAGGATGTACACCTACCTCTATTTTCTGATCATTCTTTTACACACCACTTATTAGACACTTTATACTTTTAGCTCTTTAAATATTTCATGAAAGAATGAGTAGAATAAGACAAAACTGATGTTGGTTTTTTCAAATTTTGCTGATGCATGTCAGTCAGTCAATCAGTCAGTATCAACGTAGAACTTCGTACGTACGTACATCAGTTCGAGTTGCCACACCACATTAGCTTAGGTGTATACTTTTGATGATATTGAGTTTATGAATTAGGTGTTATAACTGCATAGCCTTCATTGTCACTCTGGACATCATCAGTGCCTATTTTATGAGGAATACTCAATGAAAGAGGCATTGATGATATTGTTGAGAATGGCAGTGAAAACTTCGTAATTAAGCCATGTAGCTAGAAAAACAACAACATCAAATGTATGCTACCTGAAACTCCTTTAGTCACTTTATATATTAACGTTAGTGTTGTGAATGACCAACTTCGCTCCACACATACACACATACACATACACGCACCAAGAAAATTCCAAAAGGTATACAATCAATAATAATATAAAAAATTACATACGATGTACTGTTCCACGTCGCGTTGTAGCGAATGCTTCACAAGCTGAAGCGTTGCCTGATGATGGAAATGAAGGTAAACTTGGATACAAACCATTTCTATCTGGAATTGATGGTCGAGATGGTACTGATGGGGGAAGTTTTACTTGAACAGATGATCTTTCTGAATTAAGTAGACCAATCTCTGTATGTTTACAATAAATCACAATCGAATTGATATCACTTATGAAATGAATGGGGGAAAAAGGTAAGTCGAAAAGGAAAGAAAAAATACAATTAGCTTATTACCGAAAAAACCCTTTTTATTTTCAATGAAAAAAGTACCAATAGCTAATGGTGCTTAACAGTATTTATATTTTTATGAAATACTAATGCAACTCATCTACGATTTATGATTGTGGACGAATCGACAAGATAGTAGAATATCCTCACTTGAATTCAGCATAAACTTTTGGGTTATTGAAACAAATATTGAGGAGAGCCAAGTGAATTGTCGTAGTCAGTGCACAAAAGACAATAAGAGAACATAATACATTCCATGAAATATGAGTGAATAAAAATTTAGGGATAACACTTAACTAATTATAAAAAATAAGTAATTCAACAGCTTGTCGATTGCTTTCAATTCCCTCCATACAAATAATCAGTCAATAAGTTTACGGAATACAGAGCACAATTATATCAATCAAAATTAACTATCAAAACGAACATTGCGAAAAAACATCCAAAACTTGCATTACAAGGTTTTAATTCTTTGTAATCCCAACAAAAGGTTTGTAACAAGCAATGTCAAACAATTCTATATGCATATTGGATTTTTGTTAATCTCTAAATCATGTGTCAAGAGGAAGTAAGGCATGATTGGCCAATGAACAAGGACAAACGTATCCGGTTATATTAAATATGAGACTAAGTTATATGCAAAAGTTGATCCGAATTTTCATTCTGTTTCGATTCCGCTTTTATTACACTGGTTGACTGCCTTGTATTCTGTAATAATCAATTCAACTTCTGGCCTATGCCTAGTTCGTGACCATTGGTCGAACAATTAAGTTGAGTATATCACATACGTAATGAAGCATTGTAATTTATTGAGTACACTGATCTAGTGTCCAGATTATTGTGTTAGTTCAACTGATCTAATTACCTAATATATAGCGCCCAATGTAAAATCGTCAACTACAAACGTGCTTTTCCGTTAATACACATATACTTGAAAAAAAAACGCAAATTTAGAAGATATGGAGATTTACACACAGTTGAAGACGGAAACAATTCTCTCATTACATACGATAGTTATCTCTTTAAAGAAGTCTTATTTCCTGGATAATAATATTTGTATAAATCTTTTTTAGAAATATTAGAAATTTTGTTAGTTGTACGTTAAACTTAGTTAAAACAAAAATGGGGATAAATATTTTTTATATTAAAACAAGATAAGTGAAGATGGTTAAAGTGAATTAAGAATACGTTTAGAAAATGGAAGGCTTTTAAATTGATCGGTTGAACTCAATAGTTGAATAGTAAATGAATATAGGAAAATAATAAGTATGTCGTATATTGACTATAGAATTGTTTGATGGTGAGAATCACTACACAAACAAAACTGATGCTTAGCCATGCTACCGAGTTGAAACTAATTAACATTCATTTGAATAATAACAATAAAAGATTGTATGTGCAAATAGAAAGCCTTGTAAAATTAATTAATACAGCAAAGCTGCGAATAACATTCACTTGTATAAACTTGTTTTCTGTATTCGCAAAGGATAAGCTTCCCCATTCAATTGCCTCCATATGCATCTACCAGCTCTTGTGGAGCAATGTATATAGGCCGTAGCCAGCTCTTGCTTTCAACTTGGATACGAGAACATTCTTTAGTGTGGTTCTACAAGGGTGAGAGGAAAGCAGTTGGAAGATCCATTCTTGAACATCTAACCAAGTCTAATCATTCTACCAATCCACATGTTGATTTTAAGGTTATTTATACAGTTCATCTAAATCTATCTAGATTTCTTCGTATCCGAGCCCTCAATACAGCAGAAGTTCTTGCCATTCATGAGCTCAAGCCTGAACAGTGTGCACAAAAGAAGCATGTCTTATCGTTACCTTGACCTTAATCTATTATTATTGTATTGCATATTAGAAAATATTCCCCCTCTCTCTTTAATTATTCTTTACATACTCATGATTTTACTCATGATTGTTTCTTATATCACTTCATTTAATTTTACACCTTCATTACCTTTAATTATTGTAATAAAAACATTTAAATTGTTTTACTTCATTTATACTATAATCCGTTGTTGACTTATTAATTTTACAAGGCTTTCTATTTGCACACATGCAATCGTTTATTGTTATCATTCATATTACATAATCTAGTATTATAATCTTTTTATTGTTCATATATCCTCACGGAACTAATCAGTTTAACGAAAAAATTTCATATATGTACAATTGTAGAAGTTGATAATAAATTCGTTGAAAAGAAATCCCTTTGCTGAACTTCGTGTTTTTAATACATAAATGGAAATGATATGTCAATTCATATAAATACTGTTTTTTAATCATTTAATATTAACTGAATTTCCTTCAATATACCAAAAATAGATTTTTCTTTCTAATGGTTAACTGGTAAAATGATCATTTGCAATGTTAGAAAATATTTATGACAAACAAAACATAGTAGATATTTAATATCAATAATAAACTACTAACCCGATACGTGTATAACCAGGAGTTGTAGTACGTGGACGACTGTAAACACCAATTCTGGTAATTGCACGAGAAGTTGTAGAACGTGGTGAAAATTTAGCACAAAGAATTTTTCTTTTTAAAGCACGTTCACCTAAGTGGTAAACAAAGACACGTTGGAAGCAAAAAATGAAAGGAGATCACGATTAATTTAATAATTATTAAGAGATAAAAGTCGTCGATTTTAGACAATCAGTAAATTGTAAATGTAAGGACTTGTATTATGACCAAAACTACTCACAGTTGGTATGCAGTTAACAGTAAAATCCTTGATCTACGTTTCATCTTATTCGGGACTCATTAGCTGGATATATACGCCTGCATCCGATTGTTGGTATCCACACATTGGGACCTGAACCTAATATTTTTTTGGTTCAAACGCCAAAATGCTCTTCACTGAGCTTTTCAAACCAGATAGTCACTAGCTTACGCAACGAGTATGAATTTTACTTATAAAGACTTGGAATTTCTCGTTATTCATATTAACGACTTCAATTCATCAGTTTGTTTTGGAATATGTGCATTAACTTGAGTGGATTGCCTCAATATCGCCATTTAATCACAAGTGTTTGATAAAGCTGGGTAGTGATTAGCGGTAGAGCTCTGGACTTCACTTGTGACTAAATGGCAATATTGAGGTGATCCACTCAAGCTGATGCATATATTCCAAAAGAAACTGATGAATTGCAGCCGTTAACATAAACGACAAGAAAACACAAGTTTGTGTTTTGATGGAGTTTTGTCCCCTGATCTGGATGGTCCCAATGTGTGAATACCAACAATCGGATGCAGGCGCATATATCCAGCTAATGAGTCCCAAATAAGATGAAACGCGGGTCCAGGATCTTACCGTTAACCAAATACCAACTGTACTAAACATCAGTAAGTAGTTGTAGTCATAATACAACAACGTGATAAGTACAGATAAAGCATATCAAAAAAAAGAAAATTTGAAACAATAGTCACCTAACAAAGAGAGAGATGGGGAGATTAGAAACTATCACCTTGCATAGTTTTACACAATGTACCATCATTTACTTTTTTCAGTCGCTCCTTGCCTTCTACATTATTACTGGCATTTTTAAATCCTTTATGATGAATTATCATTGGACCATATTATGTATTTCAAATTGTCGTCTAAAAGAAAACTTTTGCAGCCAAATTGTCCTCGGAAATGAAGTCACCGATAATTGTTAGGATCTCTTAATAGGTCGAATTGTCGTATCATTATTATTCACAGTTGAACTCAGTAGTCGATCTAAGCTAGACCACCATCGAAAACCTGGAACCACTATACGGCCGTTCCGTCCTAGTTTGTAACTCTGTGCATCTACGATCCTGAACGGAGGACTCGAACCCAGGACCTCCAGTCTCAGGCGCACGCAATGGATGAAGGGTTGCGCAAGATCATGGATTGACTGAAGTTAGACATAAATATCGTTGGATGTTGACTCAGTGAGCTAGAAGTTAAGCGACAAAGTGCGAGACCAAAGGTCCTAGACTTGAGTCTCATGAGCAGGATAGTGGATGTGCGCCTCTGGGGAGCCCCACACTAAGACAGAACGGGCGTCTAGTACTCCCATGTTTTTAGTGGCGATATAGCTTAGATCCACTCGGGATTTTAACAGTGAAAATACTACAATCTCCATACCAAAATAATAATCATCAACTAATACTCATTTCCAAAGCATGTATTTGTGAACTTAGCTTTGAATTACACTTTATGTGCTAGTATTAGTGACATTACCTGATTGTTCACACTAAAGTAGGTTAATAGATGTTCGAATCTATGACCTTATAGTTGAAGGCTAATTACTTTAGACATCAAATCACTGAAACAAACCTATGGGCTATTTAAAACTGAAAGTGATATTTTAAATAAAAATGGGTTGGTTAGTTCTTCCAGAAAATTTATTTCAACAGGTTTCTACTACAGCAATAAGTAAATAGATGAGATAAATTTATGTGCACAAAGTTGAGGAGGATTAGAATTCCAACTAGATTGGGACTTTTCTGCTCGACTATACTTTGGTTCGAGTTCTCGGCTAAAATTACTACCCTGACTTCTGCTATCATTAATTTTTACCAAATACAATATAAAAATGAGCAAAAGATGATATAATGAAATTAATGTTCACCTGTATCTATTGTATTATATATCGCTTGATGATTTGCAGGAATATGTTCACCATCGTCTACTAGTACCAAATTTACAAGTATTGGTCTTTGTCCAGCCTTATATTGTTGAAGACATGATAAAAGGATATGATAAGTAAAACAATTACATAACATTATACCTACATATATAAGTAAAATTGAGCAAGAATATCCTAATTACAAACTAGATGCCCTTAGATTACTCAGTAGTTTACGACCAGAAACATGAAACTTGACGATTTTGTTTCAACTAACACAATGTTCTGTCAGATTATTGAGTAAATAATGTTGAGGACACTGGTACGATGCCGAGGAATTACGTCTAACGGCCAGATCTTAGCTGACTGGCAAGGAGTGACCTACAGGCTAATTTCCACCAGTCGCCTGATATTTTATTGTGTTTATTCTGTGTTCATATTCTGTATACGAGCAGGTTATTTTGATACGAAAAAAACTTATCTAACTAGAGGTCTTGTCTGTGATTTCAAATCATTCGTCAGCTTAATTCAACAGCACGGTCTCGTGAGTAACCATCATTCAGCTATATATCACTGCGTCTATTTATCGATTAGAACTCTCTTAATAGATCTTAACACTCGAAAACTACGTCTAACGAAATTCCAGAAAACTTTCCTCTACAACAGATATTTATCCTACATCTTCACAAAAACTAGATAGTCATGAAACAAACATCAGCCTTTATTTATAAACGGCAAATGTAGCGTTAATTTGAAGGTCTTAACGTTGTAGATTGGTCTCAGCTTGGATAGCAGCGAAAAATACGAAGTACCACATAGTTGTTTTGTCTTGGTATGAGTACTTAACGGTGCTAACCCACTGCCCCACCATTGATCAAACTCAGGACTGCCAGGTCTCGCGGTAAATGCTTGATCATCAAAACCAATGGATCGACGTCTAATGGCATAATTTCAACTTCAATCAGCTCACGTTATAGCGTGAATATCACCTCATCCCACTGATGACAACTGTTTCACTCCAAACACGTTTAAACTTCACAAAACCTTATCAACTGAGTGTTAATTTGTATCTTATTTTCATGCACCAACAGTTTATATAGTTATCAAATACAATGAATTTTCTCTGAATCGTAAAAACGATGAACTACGCTTCTAGTATATGATGACTGAGGTGAAATGAAAACTCAGCTACTATTAATCAGTCAAGTTGCGCAGTCGGTTATTTAGTTGATAATCGGCAATTATCAGTGTCCTTGTCCACGTTATTTTGGAAACCTAAATAATACAGCTTTATGAACTCTTCAATTGTTGAGTTCATATATTAAAGTTCGTTAACTGTTTCCCTTTAAATGAAAATTAGCCTTTCTCATTATCATTCCTACTACGTTATTCCGATTTCTTTCCTATTCATTTTGTTAACTGAATCTTGTACTAATGTGGTATGGCATTCTGGGTCAAAGTACATTTGTTCCAGGTTCTACATTTATTATAACGGACTGACTGGCAAGTTTCAAATATAACACGACAAAAGTTCAGTTACAAAGGCGTTGAGGTAAGTACAGTTTATCAGTCCCCATCTTAGATTATTTAGCTCGACGCTGGTGTCAGATGTCTGATTTTTTTTACCTTTCTCCTAATAACAGATATATTATTACTATTTAATTCCGTATCCGATTTCGCACTAAATGCATTACAAAGTGATATAACATCGTTTAGTGAATGATGTTTTAGAAGTGATATTTTCCGTCTATAACTATGGTTCTAATAATAACTGTAATAAAAGCCATGCTCATTATCATAAATTTTGTTGCGGTAAAACATTCGCAGATTCATTTGTGCAACATCGCAACAAATCTCTCTTTAACACACATTCAAATTGTTTTTAAGAGATTATATGTTACAAATGTTATTTTCAGTAGTTAGTATCCCCTACCTATCTTCGATGTCAAAAATTTACAATCAGTTATCCGACGATACAACGGTTTTTCTTCTCATCCATTAAATGCTGAGTTCATAAGTTCCAATATATTCGTCTTTTATTTTTCAGACGACAAACAAGGAAGAGAATATGTCAACAAATGTAGTGTTTCGGTCTGAGATATTTAGCACTTAAGCCTTTCATAATACTGCATTAATACATACAGTTAGTACCCATAATTATTCACTTCAAGGAAATCTAAGAAGGAAGGCTTATTGCAATATTTCCACAGTTGAAAATTAGGTGGTATAAATGTCTGGACAAACCACCTCAGTCTGTGTACATATAGCAAAATGTATTCAAAGCATTACTTTGTAAACAAAAATCATGCATTACTTTCTGACAGTGAATAAACAATCTAACATGTGATTTCCAATTTGACATACAACTTTCCGAGTAAGAATTTTATTTTACTTTAGCTTATTTTCTATTAGTTCTTTAGTAATATTTATATCTTTGGTGTTTTTATTTGATTCGCTATTTACTGACTTCAACGTCATTGATGTATACCTATATAAAGTGTAGATAGTTTGAACTGATAATCGATATCCTAAATTTTGCTTTTAACTTTAAAACTAGACCACATAAAATGGTTAAATTAGAATATCTTAAACGAAAGCCAAATGTTTTCTTCTGAAAACCCAAAAGAAATAGGGACCAACCGAATTCCTTCAAGCATTGTCATACTATCCAATCAAAAATATCATATTCATTTCTAACAGTATCTGAAATATGTGATATATTTTGGCATATAGATAAATATGTAATTACAAGTCACAATCCCTGTAAACTGTTAGAATACTTATCTGCTTTGAATAAAGTGCACGATTTTATTTTATTTAAATTAACTAATCACGTTCTTGGATACGAGCTGCACTCCAAATGTGAAGGCTAATGATACTCACAACCCAGTTACTCAACGAGTAGGCAGGACGGGTCCGGAACCTGAGAGTTAATGGTTGAAAGTCGGACCCTTCAACCACTGAGACACCACATAATTTATCAAGACAAATCAATGAACCATTGAACTTACACATGTATTTATATTTTCTGAAACATAACATAGGTATCGTGTACGTCGTGAAAGGAGACTTGATGGCCACAAACAAGCATCATCAGCACTATCTGAAGTTCGAGATAACTAAAAAAAGATTGTGAACATTAGAGCACTAGCAAACCACTTGGTTTAGAAGGAGTATGAAGCTGGTTTCAGTTAATTAATTGAATAAATGAAGCAAGGTTTATATGATAACAACTTTGTAAAAAATCAAAAGATAATTTCAATGTGATGATAAAAGTGACTTTAGGATGGGACGTTTCAGGGTAATTGATGATATGAAGCAAGAAATTAGGTGAGAGTACTCAGACAGAAGTACTTACATTTGAATAAGACTGTGTTAAATCTGGTATTATCTACCAGAATGCTAAGTGACAAGTACTGATTTTAAGACGTCTGATTTGTTACTTGGATTTGCATTTCCCTATTGTCAACTTAAGTGATGTTCAATAAACAGCGAACCGTCTTCACATATAGCATAATTTTTAAGTTCACGGTCACTTATGGAGTATGTTACTGATGACTGGTAAATGAAAACATGGTAATAAGAAAATAACGGGACACAATCAAAATCTCCGATGAAGCGCATCCTCATAAAGCATAATGCTCCCGGCAAATAATCCTACTTGTAACCTATTAATTAAACACATGTTTTACGAAGACAACTAAAGCACAATGCATGAGAGCTACTGGTACTACCACGTTGGCCAAACCGTATTAGTTGAAGCGGGGTTCAAATATACAACCTGCAGGCTGGAACCCAATAGCTTCGACCACAGAGCCTAAGCTCTATAAGGAAAATAACTAATTAGAATATGATGGTAAACTGCTCTCTCCAAGAGAACATATGCTAAATCAACCACGGAGAGGCAACACTGAATAAAAATATTACATAAAGCGAAGGTAAATATTACAGAGCCTTCTTGATTCATGACTTTCATATATTTTAGATGGTGGAGAACAGTAACCAATCAGATTCAATATCGACAGGATAAGCCGCTAGTTACTTTCGAAGAGATCCTAATAGGTAACTTCATTCTATAGTATTTCATGATTTCCTCTAGAAATACGATGAAAACTTAACAATCGAACTACTTAGTTCATGGCACACAGCTTTAACAGGATTGTACATACATACTTTATTTGTGGTTGCAAATGTAGAGGTCAATCATTCATAATGGTCAAATACAGCTAATTATGTTTACTTCCACAAAATCCGAACTTTGTAGTTATAAATAATAAGGTCAAAACTAACAACCTACTAGCAACCTTTAACAGTACATCAAGCAATCATTTTCATAAAGGAAGAAAATTGCGACACATCCTTTCTATACGTCTTGTCAACGAAAACCGACGCGACAACAAAAGGAAATGTTCATTGTAAGTCGTCTACATAAACACAACGTACACATTTTTCAGCTTGTATCTCATTACAATATATGTGAAATCTAGTCAAATGTTCGGATGAAACAGTTAAAATAACATGCTCTGATGATATCCTTAAAGAAGAATCACAACTTATCCATGATTTACCAAACAAGGATATACATATTCATCAAAGTTCCTGACAAAACAGAGACTGAAGATGAAGTAAAATCATCGACAGCACCAAACATACCTTTATTCCCGAAGTTAGTTTAAACTTGATATAGTAGGTGGAATAATTATCTGACATACAAGAAAAACCACAGAGCATTCATTCGATGTAACAAGATCATCCGTTTCCTCTTCCAGTCAACTGATATTGTGTTTACGGAATAAGAATAAACTAACTAGTTTCACAGGCTCCGCCTCATATTAACAAATTCAGCAGCTGCTATGGGGCCAGGTATATTGTATGTATAACCAGACGAATACATCATCGTATTTCTGGAAATCACCGTTTGTGGTTGACCAAATGACTAAAAAACCAACCGGAAGTTCTATTCTAAAACACTGCTTAATATTTGGTCACTATACGAGTATAAATTCAGCCGTTGAAGTTATCTGCGGATTCCTTTCAAAATTACCCCATGCTTCCAGAATCTGGTTACACACACCGCAGAAGTCATCGGAATACACATCAATAAATCTAGCCTTTGTATACAAAAAGCGTTTGTACGGCCTCTTGATTTACCATGACCTACACACTCGCTACTAAATTTATCCAGACCCTTTAATTTTGTTTTCTAATTCTCTTCTTACATGATCTGATAATCCAGTTTTCTTCTCACCTATCCCATTAATTACTTATTATTAATTCTATTAGTAACACCAAACATTTATATTCAACTATTTAATTTCAAGTTTACTCAGTTCCTAGTTTTACTGTTATGTAAATAGTCGTGATAATTAACCGACTATGTAATTTCACTTTAGTACTGACTTTTGTTATCTGTTGTGTACCTTACTGATTACTAATAATATATGTAGCTAAACTGATCCATCCCTATTCAATCGGTATTAATTTTGTACTACTTGGTTGCAAAACTAATTAAAGAGGGACATTTCTGCACCCAAATCACATTTCTAATATCGCAGTGTGAATTATTAATACACACATTATTAAACTACAGTATTCCCGAAGTTATTAAATACACTAGAGGTAAATTGTCACATTAGCACGAGTTAAATTGAAAAGATGGGGAGGCGAAATAATATTGACAGCAATGGAACGCTTAACCTCAAGCAATATCGTTTCGGTGATTCCTCTATACGCGAGCAACACAGTGAAGCTTCCATCTTACGGCGTAACATAATAACGATAAACACTTACTGTTAAGTAATTATCACCTTTAACACGGTATAAAGATAAATGTACAACCTGGCACGATTATATAACAACCCTGCCTGGAGCACCTCTGGGGTTACTGACGGTTAGTGAGTCAGCTACAACGTAGGACCAGGTACATATATGCACCGGTCCAAGTTGCCATACAACATTGTCACAACAAAATGAACACCAAATTCATAGTAGTTAATTCAATGGTGGTAATATATAAAAGAAAGATTGTATATAAGGACATAGTAAAAGAATAAAGAATTAGTTCGTAGAAACAAAGACGAGACTCTAATTTATGGACGAGCCAATCAGAGGCGTTTGAAGGATTTCAAGGTTACAGCGCCAACTTCAGTGCTTAATGCTAACGTACGATGGGTTCACAAGGAATTTTGTACAAAACGTGATAATTGAGCGGCTATAACAAATAAAACGACGAGGCTACAATTTGTGGACGAATCAATCAGGTATAAGATAACAGATCTCGGATTTGGGCACGAGAGCCTTTCATCCATTTGGCTAAATAGATTTCTGGCATTATAGCTGATGTCAGTTCGTGATGAAAACCCCATATATAATTCCTAACTAAAGCAAATTACGACAATTATCGCGAACTAGATAATAAAAGTACCAGTAACACTGGCTGCAGTCAGGTACTACAATATATAAGGATGATTGGAGAGCCTACAGACTCCTATATAGGCTTGGTTATCTGCATCGTGTCGTCATCCTCAAGCATTTTGTTTACTCAACAACCGAAGTGCACATAAACAATATTGAAACTATGTGGTCGAGGCTGAAAGAGTTTTTGAGACTTTATCACGGCTCCGGAGGCCAACTATTCTGCAGCCGTATGAATGATTTCCTTTACTGCATGCATTACGATTTTAGAACCTCTGGACCTCTTTCTAACCTTGACAGGTTTTTGAACCACGTATAAGAAGTGTATCCACTTTATTTCCTTGGTTTTGTATAACATATTTTTACTCTATACTGACTGTTTGCTGATTGGCTAATATTTCTCAGGATCGCTTAAGATTCGTTCAAAGGTTGTCCATAAATTAGTCTCGTCGAAACAAAAATATAAAGCAATTTTAATCTCATAGTTTAAGGGAACACAAAGAGTGTATACACCTACGCCATTGTGATCCAATCTGAGCCATGTCACCCAGAGTCTCCAACCATTCGCTACGATAGTCACGCGGACCTAAACAGGTAGTCTGCATTTACCAACATGGCTCAAACAAGACGTTAGTAAATCCAAGGACTGATATCACGTTTTGGTTTATACTTGATATAGTAACTAACTCGCTAAAAAACGCTAACCAGTGTTTACGGATTAAGAATAAACCAACTACTTTAACAGGCTCCACGTCATATTAACAAATTTAACAGCTCTTATGGAGTCAGCTGTATTAGGTACACAGTTTTCAGTCACTCTTAAAATCATCGACACCAACACTATTAAGACTTCACTGATATTGAAATCATTGCATTTATCTCACTACAACGACAATTCTTAGTAGTCATAGACGAAGTACATTCAAGTCGAACTTCGTATTGGTGATGGTCTTTTAATGAAGACATAATATCCCAATCCTCCAATTTGGGGGGAAAATTTGAAGCCACAATAAAAAAGTATTGGGAAATGGCCCAAACCCCCAAAATTCCTTCGAGTGTGGGGAGATCCCCAAAATCGTCAGCTACGTTTTGGGATTTCCTTAATGTTTTCTCAAACTTTGACGAAAACTACGAGTTTTCATATGACTTAAAAGAAAACCTCAAAATTTATACAGCTTTGGGAGACTAGCATTCCCCAATAGGCTCAAGGAAAGAACTAACACTCAAAATGAGCAAAGATTCACAGAGACTTTTATTCAGTTGACTTCAATGCTTTATAGCTTAAAACATTTCATATACTCCAATAATTTATTAAAACTCGAGTGATTCCTATGTTCGGAGCAAAAATTTTTGTTTACAGTTGTAAAGTAATGATGACAAAAGTGTTCCAACTTACGACTTCATACTTTTGCTGTTTGGTTCCAGCCTGTGCAACAAAACCAACAGCTGTTATTACACAAGATGAATCCGGATCGGTGCCGGGACTCATCGTTGCCCTGTTCCGCTCACTTCAAATCAAGTGACTATTTCAATATAGTCAATATGATCATGATCAGCTTATTTAAACCAGTTAGTTTGCTTGCACTCGCTTCTTTTCTATTTCAGTGCCATTACAGGTTATTAATATATTTGATTGGAATATCCTAGTCACTCGACTAGGAGAGTTTGATTATGAGTTTATATCTTGAAATTTGGTGGGTATGTTCATCAAATGACTTAAAGTTTCCTGTAACTTGCAGTGATTACGTTGTCTGGTAGTCGACCGATTGACCGAAATGATGGAGCGCACAAACAATTTCAATTCAGAAGGGCAATGAGAAGACTCGTGAGTCGCCCCGTGCCACATTGTGGTTAGGTGTTCTTGTGTAAGTTATTTGTACATGTGTGACTTGACGTGCTATGGTCAAATCATCTCTTATTCTCTTGTGACCTTGTATGGATAACGTCAAGTGCATAAATCTATCTCACAGGATTTTCACCCCATTTTATTAGCCGTCGATGACTATAGAGATCTCTATAACTGTTCTGTGAGGTCTACACCTCTCTTGAAGGCATAAGTTATAAGCTACCTCTTGTTTTTGTCACACAGCCTTGAAGGCATGAAGGGACGACGAGCATTGTGTACTTGGGCGACACTGGGTGGTCCGCCAACTTGCACCGGCGAGACTATAATTTATGGACGATCTTTGAACGAATCTTTGGTGACCTTGAGAAATACTAGTCAGTCAGAAGTATTTTTTGGCTGACCTTTTTTCAGACACAAATAATAAAAATGTGATGTAGTTCTTTGAATAGAGTTATACCTACTTAATTATGTCTGTACATATCGAACTTTGACCACAACGCTATGCAATCATTGACAATAATATCCTTCGCAAATTTTCAGTTATGAAATTGACATTAAATGTGTCCTCACTACCGGTTTGAGTATTGCGGAGCACAAATTCTGAATTAAGCATGCATCTTAGGTTCCCATTATATCAGAAATTTATTTGACTGAATGCCATGCACTTTACTGAGGCCAAAATCACTCACATACGACTCAATGTCAATTATCAAGCAGTTGTCTCACAACATGAAAAAACTCGATGTCAGTGTAGATTAATTTGGTTACAGACCCCAAAAGCACAACCACCACCTGAAACCAAATATCACTCATTAAGCTCGTCGGTACTATATGCATTGAACCGGCAGTAAAGCCGTGTTTTATGTAGGTAATTGCAGATAAATGGGGTTGCCAGGCGTGATGCATTTCAACCCTAACCTGCTGTGAGATTTCAAAAACAACAAAGTATGTGGCCATGCACCGACCTATATAAAAAAGACAAGAGGCAAGAAAAAAATAAACCGTAGTCTCGTTCGAAGCGAGGAACAAACAGATTACACTGTTAAAGGTATTGAGGGAAACAATGATCTTACATTTAGAAATGAGAGTGGGAGTTGTTGTTACACAATACATATACAGGAGGATTTTCGCCCACGTGCAAACCCATTCATACATAAACACTCAAGAAAGATTCACTAAAATTCTTCGACAGTTTCGAGTAGCATTTTAAGCGAGACTATGATTTGTAGACGACGCAACGAGATTTAGGATAACAGGTCTCGGATTTTGGTGCGATATTCATTCACCTATTCATCTAAATAATGTTTCGTCATTTTATCTGATTTCAGTCCGTCATGAAAACCATAAATCTAACTCCCAACTTTAACCATAAACTGTAAATAATAGTTCTTATTCTTCAAACTGTCTTATAACTTTTATTTAGCCCTAGAAAGTAGGTCACTAAGGCGTCGTCCAAAGGTCGTTTAAAACTATAGTCTTACTACATTTTGGTACACATTACAGTAACATCTATTCAAGAAAGTGATGTGCGATGGTGAGGGTAAAATATGGTTAGTCGTCAAGTGTGGACAAACCGGCACAGCCTACTAATCAATGAATGTACGACTTCTTTTTCCTTCATTTACTCCTACTATGGAATCACTGTGACGGACTGTCTCTCCTTGTGTGGAACTAAGTGTTAACCAGCACTCGTCTTGATTCTCTCCCCTAGTTCGTGGAGCGTGTATCTGACACAGCTTGATTCAGTGGCTTGTTAACGTATTGTATTAGTATACCGTAAAGAAAAAATATTTCAAATAATCTATTTCGAAAAATTTCCAACTTGTATCAGTATTGGTCCAAACCACATGATTTTTGAAGCCGAGCGTATAATTCATGAGACGATTTACATTCAGCATGTAACACTTGGAGAAGATTGTTGATGGTGAACGCGAGACCAATCGGATTATTCTAAATAGTATGGCTCGGCCATGTAGGCGTGGTCACTTTGTGTTAAATTTATTGCAGTGTAGACAATTCTGTGATTTCCAGGAAAGATCTCATAAATCAGGTTTTCACATCATGACATATCTAGAGTTCTAGAATTAGGCCTCTTATTGTAGGAGCAAATATAAATGTTCTAATAACGAATATAGACTATAGTTCCATTTTAAGGAGAAACATTTCGACTACAAAACAAAAGTCATCTAATCGTAAGTTTGCTAGAGTTCAGAAACAATAAGATTATTCCAAAACGCCCTTGCTAAACATTAGATGTGACGTGCCTATTCGATTCCAAAGAAATTCCTGTGTGGTTAAGGAAAGTTATATGCAAAATCTACACTATCAAGTGCTTGTCCGAACTTAATATTTTTTTGGTTCATACACACACAAAAATAATGATGCAATCTAGAACGGGAGAACGGTTTCTGCCTCTACAGAAAGCTTGATTCGTGAATCTTGGCGAGACGGACATTAAGCTTCTAATAAGCTGGTTTGACATTAGGGCATGCGTATAAGTAACCCAGATTGAACTATATCTTTCAACACAACTACAGCACATTCGTCATCCATTCTCCCTAATAAATTGGAGTGTTATTGGGAGTAGGGTCTTCTACAGGAATGGTAAGTGTAACAAAAGTTTATTTTCATTGCAAAAATCATTTGCATGCCATTTTTAGAGGTTATTTGTAACTTAGGTCTTTCGTTTTCTCAACTTTCTACCTCTACTCCACCAATAAAGTGTTCCCTAATCCAGCCAAAAACCTGGGTAGTGGGAAGAACTATCTGCCTCTAGTCTCCATTCCCAGATTTTTGTAATCTGAAGCCTGTGCTACCGTTATTTATTATTTGTTTCTTTCCTCATTGGAAGTAAGTGTATTTATGCCCTTGTCATGTTTTCGGATTATCTTTCCTCTTGTTCTTCATTTTTCTAGATCTCTTCACTCAATTTACTCCGCTTACTCAGTTAGTACAGAAAGTGCCTTCTGGCTGATCGCAACTCCCTGAAATTTGACTATCAGCTTAAAAACCCCTGATTTCATCGAGACAGTAGCTTTAAAGTAAATTCAATTGCTTGACTTCAAAATAACGTAGAGTCAACTGTCTGGAGAAATCACAGAACAATGCGTCCAAAGGAAATCAGAATTTTACAGAACGCCATGAAATGAACACTAATGAGTCATCGCGTAGTTACTGTCTTTAACTAAGATATTAGATATCAGATCTTTTGTTTGAACTTATAAGTTGGAGGGCGCTGGTTTTTTCGAAAGAGCCCTTGTAGCGCATGTTAGTTCATTATGGTCAGGATAACATCTGAAATAGTTGAGAATGCTCCACAGTTTACCAACGCCATTAAGGATCGTGAGCTTAGTCTCAGAAGTTACAAGTTTCCTGCGATCGAAAATATGGGATGTACATTGGACCAGTTCGATACTATTGATCTTTCAGATAATGAAATCAGAAAACTCGACGGATTTCCAATGTTAAAACGTCTAAAGTCATTAATACTTACAAACAACAAGGTAAACTTTCTATTGTTAAATCTGATTCTAGACTCAAATCACTTATGTACCCTTTTTATTTTTGAATGTACTTCAATCGTAACAATTATGAATGTTTTCTCCACTCTCATATAATTAAACACCTATTAGTGTTGAACCCGATTTACTCATCTAACCCTTAGTAGTAGGTGATTCGTATCAAACGTCCCCTACGTTCTATCTAAACAGTTTTAGTTGTTTGCACATCAGTCTTCAGTAAAAAAGATAGGTCTATCAACCTATATTAATCCTTGCAATTTAACACTGGAGGTCCAATCCGGTTTTCGAATATATCAACAATATATCAGCTAAATAAGAAACTTTTGCTAGTGGTGTTTTCGCTGTCAGATTTCTCATCTGTCGCCTCCGAACTTCTTTCTTGTATACCGCTTCCACACACCTTTCTCTTTAAGTCCGTTGTGTCACCAATTCCCGTCAATCCGTAAACTGTGCAAATGCTACTAGAAAACATGACTCTCTGCCTCTGAGGGGATCCCTTCTACTCTGATAGATGCATATTGAAACCGTCAGTCGTCATTCAAACATGGTACATCCTATTCTTCTACACAAAAGATTTGACATTGGCGTTTGATATAGTTCTCAGTGTGATCAGTGTCTGTTTATGCCAATATTTGGTCCAGTTTTTGGTGAGACTAATTTATGGATGACCCTTGAGCGACGCCAAACTAACCTTATGAGCGTCTAGTTGATAACCTGGACCAAATGAGGGTTATAAACCTGTGTGAGGAATTTGAACTATAATTTACAGTTGGTAGTTAAGGCTAGGAATTAGATTTCAGGTTTTCATCACAAACTGACATCAGCTATAATGCCATAAATCTATTTAGCTAAATGGACGAGTGAATTTCCCGCCAAAATCCAAGAGTTGCTTGATAATCTGCCCAAATTGATCTCCAATCCAACAAGTAAACATATTGACTACTTCGTTAGTATTAAGGATCTTATCATCTATTATTTCAATTGTTATCCAGATGTTAAAGAAGAAGACAGTGTTTACTGTTTATGACGTGTATATAAGCCTTAAAAGTTATCAAAACCCGTCAAATGAACTTATTTCATAATAGTGCACTATACTGGTTATTATGTGGAACAGTTATCAAATGCGTAAAACTGTATATTCTATCCCACGTTACTATAGCAGTACACATATGGTACATTCATATTGTCAACAGTTTGTATATGGTATAATTGTATACAAGAATAATTAGCATTTCATATTATGGGTTTCGGTAGTGAAATACGTTGCATTTCCAATCATAATTCACCTCAACATCCGTTATGTTGATCAGCTCAAAGGTTGGTGCTAATACACCTAAGATACGAGAAAAAACGACGTGAAATCCATCTACAAAGTCACTATTAGTGTGAGCCGTGTCAGGTGAAAGATGCACCGAATGCACTGCAAGTATTTGGAGTCTTTGTTACAGCATTTTAGATACGTAAACTAAATAATCTTGGTAAAAACGCTTCTCATACTTTATCATCATACATTTGATTAGAAAGTGATACCATAACTTAGGTGTGTGTATCTAGTTATAGTATGAATATTTCATGTTTCTTTCAAAAATAATACAATACTGAAAATGCCCACCTTTACAGACAAACCACACAACTCATGTTTATTTTTATTTGTTAGTTGTCTTCTGTTTGACTTCCAATAATACAACGTGAACAAAGGTTTATTTAGTTGTATAAAGTCAACATACCGTGTTAATACAATTCAAAAGTTAAAGTTTCAGTCTGATGTTCAATTTTGATCTTGCGGTTATAGAATCCATGTTCCTACCCTCTAGTCACGTGCTTTACTTTCATCATAGAAAAGTCGCCAAGGCTTTATGAACTTATTTTTGTTTTTATTATGACTTTTAGATTGCCCGTATCGCCGAGGACTTGGGTCAACATTTACCCAATCTCTTGACCCTTATCCTAACCAGTAATTATCTTTCTGACCTCAAAGATTTGGATCCTCTATCGTCATGTGAGAAATTAAATTTTCTGAGTCTTCTTCATTGTCCTGTAACAATGCGAGCAAATTACCGTTTATATGTTATCAGCCGCGTTGCATCTGTAAGTCAAATAGTTTAAGTAGTCTTGCTGGACCTGTTTTTCATAGTTTTGTAAAATACTGTCATAATCGTGAACTCATGTGTTTTCTGGCTGTAAATTAAATTATCGTTATGTGAACTGTAGCCTGTTTATTTCAATATATGTTTATCATTTTGGAATACACGTATAAATGTACGTACAAAAAGATTATTCATTCTGTAACGTATAAGTTAATGTCCAATCACTGGGTTACTCAAAATGTGTTTAGAGCCTGGCCCATGTAGATAAATACCGAGTTGCACAAATTCTATTTTTTAATTATTTAGTACGTATCTTCTAGAGAATCAATCGTGTTTCTTTATGCCCAAATATCAATTCATTTAGATTAGTTTTAATTTACAACTGGATATTCGGTTATCAGATATCTAGAATACTTAGCCTTAACTAGTAATATTGGTCTGTTTTTCAAAGCAGCAATGTTACCGATGTGTAGACCACTTAAAACTTCTGTAATATTTTTTTCTGTCACATGCATTGCAGTTTATTTAAACAGTTTCATTATGATACATACATAGATTGGATTGGACTGAGTGAATACGATTATATCCAAGAATTTATTCCAAATGTACTATTGCCAAGTACTCTATAATCATTTTTAAGATGTTGCTTTTACTAAACGTGTAATCTAACCCTACATATTAAGCTTGGAACTGTGTGTAACGTTTCGTAATACGAATTTTAATGGTTGGGTATGTAATATGTCATCATCCTCTCTACGCTTCGCTTGGCATTTTATTTATTTGATTTAATGGGAAGGTAACACTGTATCATCCACACATTGTTATTGTTGTTTCTTTAATATTCTGAGTGTGTTCAAGTTATCCAGTGTTTGAAAATATAATCCTTGAAAAAATTGTCGCTATACGTTTTCTCTTCTTCCATTCTTAGCTTCGCTTTTTAGACTATCGTCGTGTTACCCAAGCTGAACGTAAACTAGCTCGATCAATGTTTAAACGTCTTCCTGCTTTATCAAACAGCGTAAATAATGTGAAAGCACCATATCAGAAAGCTAATGCTAATCGTGTAGAAAACTCAGTTCCTGCTGCTGGTATTGTTAAAACATTTATTCCTGGTGCTCCAATTAATTCAAATAATCTTCTCCCTCCTGGAACTGAACCAACAAGATCTAGTAATGAACAGATTCACCTTGGGGAAAGTAAGGAGAACAATGCCCCTACCCTAAATACATCTGTGGAAAACGATCAGACTGAGTCAACCAAGTCTGATACCTTGGTAGTCAGTTCAGCTGACACTCCTATGCCTCCACCGTCAACTCCTGTCACAACAGGAAATAAACGCCCAGGTTAGTTGTATAACTACTGGTATGATTACTATCACAGTTAACCTATTTTTTTTATCTATTATCCTTATGATATGTAATTATTTATGAACCTGTGTCTATTTAGATGAAAACATTCGTTACACATGGCTAGTCAAAACAATTCAACGTAAGACGTTAACTGATGTAAAGTAAAGTAGGGAACGTTCTACTTTTATAGCATTAACGTAGTACCAACTTACGAAGTCTCGGGAATTTTATGCTTCATATTGAGACCAACGAGTTACTCAAAAACTCATGATTGAAAAACATGAGTAACAACTGGAGGTTTGTGTTACTAATAAGTAGTGGTCCAGTCTTTTATTGTGAATTACATCTGTTGGGCTGTACACGTTTCAGTGCTCCATACTTTCATTCAGATATAATGATTACGTCACTGTCAAGGTTTCTACTTCATTCAAACCAATCAGTCATGATATCTGGTCATAAGGAAAGAAAGTGACCCAAGCTCTGTTTCGACCAACCTATAATCTAAGCATTCTGTTCACAGCATTGAATTGAATACAAACAGATAGTTAGTTAAATAGATTCAAAGTATAAACCTGCTTCAGTCCTTTTTGTTGAAATAGTTGTTGATACAAGAAAGTCAATCACAATACTTCCTGATTAACGTCACAGTTGTAATCACGAGTCGATGTAAGCTAGACCACCATCGATGGAAACTTAGGTCGGCTCGTGATCTCAACTGTGAAAATATCACCATCTGCACAAATCCCCCATACCGATTCTTAGTTATTGTTCAGAGCATCTAGAAAACGTTTTGTCGACGTCTTTACCTCATAATCCGATGTTATCTATGTACACAAATGATTTTGGATAGAAGAAGAATGGTTTCATTAAGGTTCTGGTTAAAAAAGATTGTGTTTCGATAAACTAACTTTTGTGGTCTCAAATATGGATGACAAGTCCAGACGCAAATGTCTAAATTCGGATACAGAGACTTTAATAAATAAGAAAACTAACTCATGCTGTTTGTTCTTGGGTATGAGCCATGTTCCAAGTGTAGGGGCTAACGATACTACCCAATTGTTCAGACCGAACTAAGCGAAGCAGGGTTTAAACTTGGGACTCAGTAGCCAAAAGTTGAATGCCCTAACTACGCATCCACTGTTCAACTTCAGTGACAGTAAATATTCTAGTATTTTTGAATAGACAGTTTTATTATTTTTACTCTAGCAATCATATCCCACTTTTGATCAGATTACGCTTATAAGAACTAGGGATGCATCTAGTATGTCATTTGCTATCGTTTTAAACAGTAGGTGTGTGTGTGACTACATTGATTGGTTTTGTCATGAAATATTAACATAAGGTATCAATTGGTGCTATCCTGGTGACCAAAGTTTGTCTTCTGACTGTTGTATCGCATGTATTGAACAGACCCTTTTGCCCTTTGGTCCCAACCGCCTAATACCAGAAAATCACGGTTTATATATATGTTCTTAATATTTACCGACCGAAGACAATATATAGTGAATGAAATTTCTTCTAACCTACGTATACACACAATCTGTTATCTTAACACTTTTCGTTTCACACCACATGTATCTTACACACTAATGTAAATACCTACTTTAAACATTTTTAACGTTGATTGGATGATTTATTCAGTATACAGTAAACCGGATAACCATGTACCTATTTATTTTCGATAATTTTGATGTTTGATTATATTTCCTTGAAATAGCTTGGACCAGATTGCCAGGTGAAACGTTGGATTTGCTTCAAATTCTTTTGCTGAGATTTTACAAATACATTCTTCCTCTTTAATGTCTCACATTAACTCGGCACCCAAATACTGTAAAACTATTCGATCAAATTTAAGCGAAAGTTCCCCGACCGTTGTTACTACCTTGACGTGGTGGTCGGGCTTGCCTATCGTGATGAAGCAACCGAGCTATGCTGGCTGGAACAACCGTTCCTCAAGGTCCTATTATGTCAGACAGGTCGGTTGAAGAGCGGTAATACTAAAAGCAACAAATCTAAGGTCCGAAGGCGAAGTCGTACTGCTGACTGTACAGAGGTGTGACAGCAGTAAGGTGTTTCCTTCAGACAACCAGCATAACAGCGATGCTGCCTTCCCACAAGGAGGGGTGGGGTTAGAAAAGGTCGACCCTAAAAATGCACACCTCGCCTTATCCCACGGATATCCGTCCCCGGCGGTAAGGTCTCAACAAGTACGGAACTAACACAAAAATTACCCATGAAAAGGTCGTGTGTGACCGACCTCAAGCAGTTGTCCCTTGGGCACTGCGGTCACGCTCCCAGTTCACTAAGACCACCTCTAATCCGATTTCCTTTTCAGGTACCTCCAGAAGAACCCCTCCACGGTGTAGGCAACCGGGAAGCGATAACCGCCCTCATACCTCTAACAACACTCAAGACCACTGTATTCATAATCAACCTCCCTCTTCAGACGAAAGTTCTTATTTAATGTTACTTGTTTTACTAATTATACGGATTTGTAATACATGGCGATAAACATGACTATTTTATGTTAGATTATCCATAAACTGTTATAGGACTTCTCGATTTCAGCTTCCTTATTGCTATCACAGTTTTTCGATATGACATTCACCTCTTGTGTTATTTTGTATGGTCTTTCTATTTACTATTATATTCTGTTTGTTCAATTTCAGTTGCATCAAGTCAAGATCTATTTGCAATACAGGAAGCAATTAAACGCGCGCGAACTATGGACGAAGTGGAACGTCTTCATCAGTTACTAAGTAGTGGTCAGTTTGCAGGATTTGCAGCTCAGTGGCAGAAACAATTAAGGCAGCAACAACAACAGAAGTCCTCTCAGTAATCATATATAAATGTTTATGTGAGGGACAGAAAAAAAGTCATCTATTGACTAAGTTTTCAGTGACTCTTTGTAAAGACTGTACTATAATAATATATGTGTATGCATACTTTTAACTGTTATGTAAGTATGGTGCAATTAATCTCGAGTAAATATTTTACTTTACTAGCAATAAATTAGTTTTTGTTAATGAATAGTGTGGTTCTATCCTGGGTCTCATTACTGAATGTAGAAAAAGGCAAGATAGACAGATGGAATGAATATTTATTGTGAGAGATCACAAAACGCTTGCATAATGCGTTTATATAGCCTTCGATCATCCATTAGCATGTTGCTGTGTGTTATACAATCCGAAAATCTTCTCGTCTGATCTTCAATTGTTCTACCTACGCCATGCTTTTGATGTACTGAAAATCTTTTCTACGACTGACAGATTCGAAGTCACGTTCTGCTACACACTACTTACAAGTAATCTTTTGAGTGTCGTTTATCACAATAGTAGTGATGGATGAATGGATAGTTTAGGTTGAGAAATATGTTACGTTCTGCAAATCCAGTTATTTTCTTATCAATTGTATATAGTTCATTTCCTACTTTTTAACGCCTTAAATTAGTATCGTTTTTTTTATTATTCACTTTATCCTACATTTTTTAAATATGGAAAAATGGATTGTTACATAATCGCACTTACTTTACTTATATACATACGCCTGTTACTCCCAGTGGAGCATAGGCCGCCGACCAGCATTCTCGAACCCACTCTGTCCTGTACCTTCCTTTCTAGTTCTATCAAATTGTTGTTCATTCTTATGTCTGTCTCCATTTCTCGGTGTAATGTGTTCTTTGGTCTTTCTCTCCTCTTTTGGCCTTGAGTATTCCAAGTGAGAGCTGCCCTGTGACGTTGGGTGCTTTCCCCAATGTGTGTCCTATCCACTTCCAACGCTTTCTTCTCTGGGATCTGGTTTGCTCTCTTCCACAGTAGGTTTTTGCTGATAGTGTCTGGCCAATGGATCTGAAGTATTTTGCGCAGACGACTGTTAATAAACAATTGTATCTTCTGGATGATTGCCTTTGTAGTTTTCCAAGTTTCCGCCCCATACAATAGAACTGTCTTAAAAATTGTATTGAGAGTTCTGACTATGGTGTTGGTTGACAGTTGTTTTGAGTTCCAGATGTTCTTCAATTGTAGAGACGCTTCTCTTGTTTTACTAATCCGCGCCTTCAGATTCACCGTATTCATCAATGATGCTGCCCAAATATGTAAAGGTTTTCACATCCTCCAAACCTCCGTCAAGTGTGATTCGATTGGTGCATGTTGTGTTGTATCGAAGAATCTTGCTTTTCCCTTTGTGTATATTGAGACCTACTGCTGCTACACTGGTCGTTTTAACCTGCATTTGTTCTTGCGTGTGCGATAGAAGCGCCAGATCATTGCGAAGTCTAGGTCGTCTAGCTGTCCACTGTATTTCGTGCTTCCCCCGAGATGTTGACACCTCCATAATCCAGTCGATCACCAGGAGAAAGGGTGAGACTGTGAAACCTTGCCTGACACCGGTCTTTAATTCGAACGAGTCTGTCAACTGTCCTCCATGCACGGTTTTGCATTTTAACCCATCATAGGAATTCGTATGATGTTGACTATCTTCTCAGGCATGCCATAGTGTCGAAAAGGCCTCCATGGTGTTGTCCTGCTCATTATATCCCGCTTGACTATCATAACGAATGGTTGGAGACTGGGTGACATGGCTCAGATTGGATCACAATGGCGTAGGTGTATACACTCTTTGTGTTCCCTTAAACTATGAGATTAAAATTGCTTTATATTTTTGTTTCGACGAGACTAATTTATGGACAACCTTTGAACGAATCTTAAGCGATCCTGAGAAATATTAGCCAATCAGCAAACAGTCAGTATAGAGTAAAAATATGTTATACAAAACCAAGGAAATAAAGTGGATACACTTCTTATACGTGGTTCAAAAACCTGTCAAGGTTAGAAAGAGGTCCAGAGGTTCTAAAATCGTAATGCATGCAGTAAAGGAAATCATTCATACGGCTGCAGAATAGTTGGCCTCCGGAGCCGTGATAAAGTCTCAAAAACTCTTTCAGCCTCGACCACATAGTTTCAATATTGTTTATGTGCACTTCGGTTGTTGAGTAAACAAAATGCTTGAGGATGACGACACGATGCAGATAACCAAGCCTATATAGGAGTCTGTAGGCTCTCCAATCATCCTTATATATTGTAGTACCTGACTGCAGCCCGTGTTACTGGTACTTTTATTATCTAGTTCGCGATAATTGTCGTAATTTGCTTTAGTTAGGAATTATATATGGGGTTTTCATCACGAACTGACATCAGCTATAATGCCAGAAATCTATTTAGCCAAATGGATGAAAGGCTCTCGTGCCCAAATCCGAGATCTGTTATCTTATACCTGATTGATTCGTCCACAAATTGTAGCCTCGTCGTTTTATTTGTTATAGCCGCTCAATTATCACGTTTTGTACAAAATTCCTTGTGAACCCATCGTACGTTAGCATTAAGCACTGAAGTTGGCGCTGTAACCTTGAAATCCTTCAAACGCCTCTGATTGGCTCGTCCATAAATTAGAGTCTCGTCTTTGTTTCTACGAACTAATTCTTTATTCTTTTACTATGTCCTTATATACAATCTTTCTTTTATATATTACCACCATTGAATTAACTACTATGAATTTGGTGTTCATTTTGTTGTGACAATGTTGTATGGCAACTTGGACCGGTGCATATATGTACCTGGTCCTACGTTGTAGCTGACTCACTAACCGTCAGTAACCCCAGAGGTGCTCCAGGCAGGGTTGTTATATAATCGTGCCAGGTTGTACATTTATCTTTATACCGTGTTAAAGGTGATAATTACTTAACAGTAAGTGTTTATCGTTATTATGTTACGCCGTAAGATGGAAGCTTCACTGTGTTGCTCGCGTATAGAGGAATCACCGAAACGATATTGCTTGAGGTTAAGCGTTCCATTGCTGTCAATATTATTTCGCCTCCCCATCTTTTCAATTTAACTCGTGCTAATGTGACAATTTACCTCTAGTGTATTTAATAACTTCGGGAATACTGTAGTTTAATAATGTGTGTATTAATAATTCACACTGCGATATTAGAAATGTGATTTGGGTGCAGAAATGTCCCTCTTTAATTAGTTTTGCAACCAAGTAGTACAAAATTAATACCGATTGAATAGGGATGGATCAGTTTAGCTACATATATTATTAGTAATCAGTAAGGTACACAACAGATAACAAAAGTCAGTACTAAAGTGAAATTACATAGTCGGTTAATTATCACGACTATTTACATAACAGTAAAACTAGGAACTGAGTAAACTTGAAATTAAATAGTTGAATATAAATGTTTGGTGTTACTAATAGAATTAATAATAAGTAATTAATGGGATAGGTGAGAAGAAAACTGGATTATCAGATCATGTAAGAAGAGAATTAGAAAACAAAATTAAAGGGTCTGGATAAATTTAGTAGCGAGTGTGTAGGTCATGGTAAATCAAGAGGCCGTACAAACGCTTTTTGTATACAAAGGCTAGATTTATTGATGTGTATTCCGATGACTTCTGCGGTGTGTGTAACCAGATTCTGGAAGCATGGGGTAATTTTGAAAGGAATCCGCAGATAACTTCAACGGCTGAATTTATACTCGTATAGTGACCAAATATTAAGCAGTGTTTTAGAATAGAACTTCCGGTTGGTTTTTTAGTCATTTGGTCAACCACAAACGGTGATTTCCAGAAATACGATGATGTATTCGTCTGGTTATACATACAATATACCTGGCCCCATAGCAGCTGCTGAATTTGTTAATATGAGGCGGAGCCTGTGAAACTAGTTAGTTTATTCTTATTCCGTAAACACAATATCAGTTGACTGGAAGAGGAAACGGATGATCTTGTTACATCGAATGAATGCTCTGTGGTTTTTCTTGTATGTCAGATAATTATTCCACCTACTATATCAAGTTTAAACTAACTTCGGGAATAAAGGTATGTTTGGTGCTGTCGATGATTTTACTTCATCTTCAGTCTCTGTTTTGTCAGGAACTTTGATGAATATGTATATCCTTGTTTGGTAAATCATGGATAAGTTGTGATTCTTCTTTAAGGATATCATCAGAGCATGTTATTTTAACTGTTTCATCCGAACATTTGACTAGATTTCACATATATTGTAATGAGATACAAGCTGAAAAATGTGTACGTTGTGTTTATGTAGACGACTTACAATGAACATTTCCTTTTGTTGTCGCGTCGGTTTTCGTTGACAAGACGTATAGAAAGGATGTGTCGCAATTTTCTTCCTTTATGAAAATGATTGCTTGATGTACTGTTAAAGGTTGCTAGTAGGTTGTTAGTTTTGACCTTATTATTTATAACTACAAAGTTCGGATTTTGTGGAAGTAAACATAATTAGCTGTATTTGACCATTATGAATGATTGACCTCTACATTTGCAACCACAAATAAAGTATGTATGTACAATCCTGTTAAAGCTGTGTGCCATGAACTAAGTAGTTCGATTGTTAAGTTTTCATCGTATTTCTAGAGGAAATCATGAAATACTATAGAATGAAGTTACCTATTAGGATCTCTTCGAAAGTAACTAGCGGCTTATCCTGTCGATATTGAATCTGATTGGTTACTGTTCTCCACCATCTAAAATATATGAAAGTCATGAATCAAGAAGGCTCTGTAATATTTACCTTCGCTTTATGTAATATTTTTATTCAGTGTTGCCTCTCCGTGGTTGATTTAGCATATGTTCTCTTGGAGAGAGCAGTTTACTATCATATTCTAATTAGTTATTTTCCTTATAGAGCTTAGGCTCTGTGGTCGAAGCTATTGGGTTCCAGCCTGCAGGTTGTATATTTGAACCCCGCTTCAACTAATACGGTTTGGCCAACGTGGTAGTACCAGTAGCTCTCATGCATTGTGCTTTAGTTGTCTTCGTAAAACATGTGTTTAATTAATAGGTTACAAGTAGGATTATTTGCCGGGAGCATTATGCTTTATGAGGATGCGCTTCATCGGAGATTTTGATTGTGTCCCGTTATTTTCTTATTACCATGTTTTCATTTACCAGTCATCAGTAACATACTCCATAAGTGACCGTGAACTTAAAAATTATGCTATATGT